GCAGTGTACTTCATCAGTCAGCCTGTTCTGCTTCCCACTCTGTCTCTGGTGAATCCTTTCACCACCCCTGCACCTTTGGCCTGTACCCCAGTTCTGTATGCACAAATAAATAAACCTTAAAAAAAAAAGCTGAGATTATTCTTCAGTATCAAGAAATATTTATTATCCCTAACCAAAAAATTTTTTCTGCCTAAACCTTCTTCCATAAACTTCACAAGTGTCACCTCAACACTGTGGCTATCTTTTGAGGATCTGCATGAGGTTTCACATCTGGTTGTTCTTGCAGAACCAACTGGAGTTTAACCATGTGATCAGGGGTCACCCTTTTTTTGTGCAAAATTGATGTGTGTTATAGGGTTCCTTTCTTCTTCTCAGGTAGCCATTATTTTTAGGATAGTTTTATTTCATAAGCTTCCTCTTAACTCCTGACTTTTTATGGACATAAGTTTTCTAGGATTGTCCTCCAATTTCTCCAATGGGATGAAGCATAGAGAATCCAACTTACACTTAGTAGTAAATACAAGTGAGCTACTACATATAGGAATAAATCCTGAATTTTAAAAACTTGGGATAGTTGACTTTTTTTTTGTTTTTTGTTTTTTAATATAACATCTGTGAAGAGATAAAACAGTGGTCTAGAAAAAATTTAGTTTCTATCTAAAAATGTTTTACTGCAGCAATTGATAAATACATACAAAATGTGTTTTTACGGGGGAACTTGGAAAATCGAGAAAACCTGTTATTGCACTTTTATTGATATTTATGGAAAAATCACAAGCTAATTAAAGCTGATACCCTAAATTACCTTAATTTCTAACACTTTAGCATGATTCACACTTAAAAATTATGACTAAAAATGAATTCTATTCTTGACTGCACAAGAAATTGCCCAGGACATTCAGAACTTTCAACAAGATGGCCAAATGGTTTTGGTAAAAGCTTTAATATACAGCTTTAATACATTAGATCTCAAATATTAGGGGGAAGTAGTTGAATAGCGATGTTTTTAACTTTTTCCTTTTATATCTTAACAGTTATGAACCTGAACTGTTTCCTGGTCTTATTTATAGAATGGTAAAACCAAGAATTGTGTTGCTTATCTTTGTATCTGGAAAAGTTGTGTTGACAGGTATGTTTTAATATTATTTTCTGATTTTCATAAAATTCAGTAGCTGGACAACTTCTTTGATTTTTAAATACCTTTGTCCACCATTTTAAAGTAATCCTTGCTATTCTAGAACACCTGGAAAGTGTTCTGAAAAAATGCAAAGTAGAAAAGAATATAATACCACCCATCTCTCAATCCCCAAGCAATATAACTTGTTTATGCTTTTGTCATTTTGATATCTATATTCATTTGTACAGCCTTTCCTTTTATTAATCATTATAACGCATGCAGCTTAACTCATTAAAAACCTATCATGAATGCTTTTCACTGCTGCATAATGTTCTGATACAGGGGTCAGCAAATCTTTTTCTGTCACATGCTAAACATTTTAGGTTTTGTGCATCTCTGTTCAAACACCATGTGGTAGGAAAGCAGCTGTAGAAATTTCATGATGGAGCTCTGAAATAGGAGTTCCCTATTATCATATAATTTACATGTATTGGATAATCTTTTTTCCCCCAACCATTTAAAAATATAAAAGTCATTCTCAGCTTACAATTATATAAAAACAGGTAGGAGGTTAGATTTGGCCAGCAGACCTGTTTCTTGCCCCTGTTCTGACATGTGATTGCAACAAAGTTATTCTCCCCTTATCAGATACTTAAATACTGTTCCTTCTGTGCTAACAAAGAACATATGCAAACAAATTTGGCACAAACATTTAGCTATTTTTATGTGTGGAAAATTATTGTACTGATGCAGATGCTCAGAACTAGAACTTTTGTTTAAGGATATGACAGTATTTAAGGGTTTTATACACCATAATTTTCAGGAGAGAAGCTTCACAAGTGAACAAATGTATGATAGCTCAGCACACCCACCATCAAAAGTCTACCTATACTCCACTGTATCCAGTCATGGGGTTGGTTGGGGAGAGGCTTCCTCCCACTCCCTACCTTCTTCCCCTTGGGTGACCACCATTCTCTTGTCAGAACCTAAGGGTTGGTTTTTGTTTTGTTCATTTGTTTTGTTTCTTTCTATTCTACATGTGAGTAAAACCATATAGTCTTTGTCTCACTTGGCAACCCCCGCCCCCCCCCCAAGGTCAATCCATGTTGCCCAAATGGCAAGATTTCATCTTTTCTTTTCTTCTTCTTCTTCTTTTTTTTTTTTTTTAGTAATTGAGTAGTATTCTATTGTGTACATGCACCGCATCTTTATGCACTCAATCTGTTGGTGGGCAGGTCATCTTGTCTAATTGTAAATAATGCTGCAATGAATACATGAGTGCATTTCTTTTCCAATAAGCACTTTTATATTCTTTGAATAGACAGATAAAAGTAGAATTTCTGGTTCATACTATAGTTCTATCTTTAATTTTGAGGAATTTCCACAGTGCCTGCATCAGTTTACATTCCTACCAGCAGTGTATGAGTTTGTTTTTCTCCACACCCTCACTTACCCTTGTTGTGTCTTGTCCTTTTTATATATGCCATTCTCACAGGTGTGAGATGATATCTCATTGTGGTTTTGATTTTCATTTCCCTAATAAATGATAATGAACACTTTTTTTCATGTGACTATTATCATCTGTATGTCCTCTTTGGAGAAGAGTCTGTTCAGATCCTCCGGCTCTTGTTTTTGTTGGATTGTATGAATTCTTTATGTATTTTGAATATTAATATTTGTCAGATGTGTCAGTTGAAAATATCTTCTCCAATCAGTAGGTTGCTGTTTTGTTTCTCTGGTAGTTTCTTTCATAGTACTAACATTTTTTAGTGTGATGCAGCCCCTTTGGTTTACTTTTGTCTATAGCCAATGTCATGCTTATCACCTAAACATCTCTTCTATGTATTTATGGATTCAGGTCTCACATTCAAGTTTCTAATCCATTTTGAAATAACTTTTGTATAAGGTAATGTTCTAGTTTTGTTCTTTTACAGTCTTCCCACAGTGGGTCTATTTCTGGACTCACAAGTCTTTTCCATTTATCCATATTATCTGTTTTTTATTACAAATATCACACTATTTTGATTAGTATAGATTTGTGGTATTGTTTGAAGTCGGAGAACATGATACTCCCACTTTTGTTCTTTTTTTCTCAGGATTGCTTAAGCTATTTGGGATCTTTTGTGTTTCTATACAAATTGCAGTATTGTTTGTTCTAATTCTTGAAATCATGCCATTGTAATATTATAGGAATTACATTCAATCTGTATGTTGCTTTAGGTAGGATGGCTATTTCAAAAATGTTCTTCCAATTCAAGAACAGCTACTATCTTTCCATTTCTTTATATCTTCTATTTCTTTTAATGATGCCATATGGTTTTCAGTGTATAGATCTTATATTATTTCCTTTGTTAACTTTATTTTTAGGTAGATAATTTCTCTTCCAGTTCATTGTTTGCATATAGAAATGCAACTAATTTTTATATCTTGATTTTGTAGCCTGCCACTTGTTTTATTGTTTCTAGTAGTTATTTAGTGGAGTATTTAGTTTTCTTATGCATATTGTCATGTCATTTACAAACAATGATAGCTGACACTTTTCCAATTCAGATTCCCCAGCAAAACTTAAAATTCTTCGTAAAGTTTTGTAGTTTGCTTTTTTCTATGAATCACTGTATTTTCAAAATCAGGAAAACCTGGTTGGAATTCAAGACCCTTTTCAATACAGTAAAGCAACAGTTTCTCAGATGTCACCAATTTAGAATATAGAATAATTAAGACTCCCTACTTACTGACAAAGTTTACCTCTTTACTTTCCTGAGGAAAGGGAAAGTATATATAATGGAGACAAACAGATGCCCTACTAAGGAAACAAACATTTCAAAACCTTTGGGAAAATATTTTCAGATGTGCATTTTATAATGATACATATATCATTATGTATTGGCCTTATTACAAGTTCAAATTGCCTTTTACAGCCTAAGTTCCTATGATAGATACACAAAAATTTCTTTAAACTATCCTAATTCAAACTGACTTTCCCACTTTACCCAAATTAAAAGAAAGACTTTCATGTATAAATTTGCTGGATGTTTCAAATCACAAAAGGAAAGTATTTTCAAAATAAAATACTGAACATCACATAATACACTTCCCTTAATATTTGTTGGTACAATTGGCACATAGAATAAGCAGAGCTAATTTCTTCATTCTTGCAAGATAGGACATCTCTTTTGCAGAGGGGTGAATAAGAGGTATTAGCAAGTCCAAACTTCTGTTTATATTATGAAATAAAAGCTAGTTAATGTCTTACTAGCTTTTAATGTCTTAATAGGAATAATTACCATTATTGGGATTTCCCCCCGATTATGCCACATTAAAGTACTTTACAAACTACCACAGGGTGTAGGCTACTTTTGCCCCAACCTTAGAAACCTTGGAAACTGCCTTAGGTAGTTGGACAATTTTTATCTCAAAAGGCCAATTTTGAATATAAACCCAGGGAAATACCACAAGAGGACTCATTTTGGCTTTGACTCTAGAATTTCAATGGGGATTGGTGATCCACTGGAGACTTAGAGCCTCACATACTCTAGTCCTACCATAGCAAGACAAAATGTTCTGCAGAGCCATTTTCAAACAAAGGTCCCAACAATTGTAAAATAACCTTTTGCCTAGAAAGCATTAGAGTTTTAAAATTACAAATGCTCTTTAAATTTGACTGTTAAAAAATGGGCTCCCACTCTTCCCTACATAGGTGTTGTAAACATCAATGCATTAATATGATTAAGTAGCAATTTAAACCCACTTACTCCCCTTGATGTGCTGAAGATGTAGCCTCTATGACCAACTCTATATCTGAATGTTCTAATCATAGCTAAGTGCACAGAAGATAAAGAGCCCTTGCTATCCTGCTTTGTCATCATCTCTGAGAGCAGTGGGGAATTGGGCCAAGCTCAACGTTTTTTTCCCAGCTCCTGCTACTTTTCTATGACTTGTGTCACATTTATGGCTCTTGTTTTTTCTTACACCACAGGACCTGCTGAAATAATATACAATGAACAACAAATATGTCAGCTTTGGCTTATAAAAACAGAAATAATAGTAAACATGTGCTAGGTACTCTGTTAATCACTTTTACATGTTAATTCTGAGGTTGTACTTAATATGTGTTTCCTTCCTTGCCCGACTGGGGCGCTCTCCATCCTCTATACTAACTCAGAAGTTCAGAAGTGTTTGAAAACACCTGTGTGGTCTTTTGTGTACTTTCTAATCCTCCTTGTGATTCAAAGCTATGACAAATGCAGTTGACCCTTAAGTAACATGGGTTTGAACTGCATAAGTACACATATAAGTGGATTGTTTTTAGTCTGGGATTCTGAATTCATAAATTCAATCAACCAACTGATTGGTTGAACCTATATATGTGGGCTCTGTAAATATAGAAGTTGACTGTAAGGGACTTGAGCATATGTAGACAGGTATGGGGGAGCAACAGGCCCTGAAACCAATCCTCCAGATACCAAGGGACAATTATAGTTAATTTTGGGGGACCATATACCTAGGTTTACTAGATCATTTGGTAATTCTTATTGAGGAACCACTAACTCTTGACTTTGGTGACTGGTAGAACCATTTTACAATTTCACCAGCAATACGTGAAGATCCCAATTTCTCTATATTCTTCTTAATATTTGCTCTTCTTCATTTTTATAAATTTTAGCTCCTCTGGATTCTATATCCTGAATTCTCTCTGCTTCTCAAATCTGGCATTCCTCTTTTTAGTAATTTCCTCTCAGTCCTGTAATTAAATCAGATATCCACTTCTCAGATCCTTTGTTGTTCACATGGAACCCTGCTCCTCTTCAGCCTTCAAAGTTCTCGTTTGAATATTTGCTACTACCACCAAGATCTCTACCTAAGGTGGCTCAGAGGTTACACCTGCTCTTATGGAAACTCCCTCTAACTTTATAACTCTCAAGGAACAGCTTTTATCAACTTAAACTGTGATCCATTTCTCTTCATCATAAGATTTTATATTCCCTTCACTTATCTCCTTGCTTTTCCCATAACAACCTAAATAAGTTTCCTAATTAGCTGACAGCTTCATATAACCATAATTCATACCAGTCCATAATCCTTAGTACGGTGTGCCTGCATAGCTTTAACGGTGAAGCGCAGTGATCGTGATGAGGGGTGAATAGAGACTAAATGGCTGATAAATGTTCTTGAGGGTGGGCACCAGGTCTAACTCATGTTTTCATCCCTTTAGCTCCTATAGCAGTTGTGCTATAATTAAAGGTCCCTTGAAACTTAAGACTGTAAAGATGGAGAGTGGTATAATTTTACCCTCCAATAATCCCCTTTCATACACTGAATTTAAAACTTTAGAATAGCTCCAGTTTGTCCCACTGTTATTCAACATTATTCAAAATGTTTACTAGAGATGAGTAGATCAAAGGTGCCCATGGGTGCTGATGAAGGTCATCTAAGCACACTCCTTATTTCCTACTGTGCCCTATGGGGCTAGAGGTGAGCTGTTACAGCCACACAACAGAAGTACTAGAAAACTGCTCTAGGGTTTATGTGTAGGAATGTGACTGTAATCACCAAAGCCTTTGCCTTATTCCAGAATATCATGCCTCAGTTACATCGAAAGAAAGGTTATCACATTAAAAATAACTGGGGGTTGACAATGAAATAGTAACCTTAAGAAAATTTTATATTGAAGACTATATAAACTTGTATTTCTTTATAGGTGCCAAAGAACGCTCTGAGATTTATGAGGCATTTGAAAACATCTATCCTATACTAAGAGGTTTTAAAAAGGCCTAAGTCTGTTATCAACTCACGGAATATTGTTTTGAGTATGTGTGCAAAAGTAGCACAGAGAATGCTGGGGTTTTCTACCTCTGTAGATGTTCCGTGCACATTTTTTGACTTTGCATATTAAGGACTGATTATTTGAGTAACCAGGCCTACGGAATGAAGTTGTTTTTCAAGATAACCTTGTTATTGTTCAAATGGAACCAGTACATTTATTTCAGAAGTTGAGAAATTTAAGGTCTTGCTAGACTACTGTAGCATTAAAATGCTCTTTTTGTTAAGATGAGGTACATTAACGTGTCCTTTGAAAATATATAGCAATATATATGTATAGAAATTTCAAATAACTATAGAATAGATGATATCTGTAATATCTAGTGGAGTAGAAATTAATGTATCCATTTTTTTTTTTTGCCTTTTAAAATACTGAGATGGTCCTAAGGATAAGTACCATGAAAGATCCTGTTAGAATATAAATGAAACATGAAAGTCTAAAACTTTATGAAAAATTAAATAATTTTCTGTTTGAAATGATCAGAAACAATTGTCTATCTTAAATTCTCAGATTTATGTAAAGTCTATTTTGAAACAATACAGGGAGTTTTTGCTTGTTTGTATATTTTATAATCCTATATGATTGTATTAAAGCTGACCAGTGAACGCTAAGAGGGACTAAGAAGTTCAGATTCGAGACCAAATTAGGTTGTAGAATCTTCCATATTTAGTGGCACGCTGGAGGTTAATAGGGAGAAATGGGGCTAATATGACTCATGGCCCCAACTGGTGAGTCATTAAATCCCTCACCAAGGTAAGAAAATTTGGTGGACAAACTGGAAACCTCCCAGGTTTGCAGGGCGGCGGAGTTCAGTTTTCAACATGTTGAACCTACATCACTCAATGCTCACCTACATCATTCAATGCCTGGAAGGCAGCTGTGAATCTCTGGGCATGGATCTTGGCCAAGAATTGGGAAGTCATCACCACAGGCCGCCAGGCACGTCCTTGAGAATCACTGGTCTAGATAATGCCCTATAAGCCCACTTTTCTCTTGTTTTGTAGCTGAGCTTACTCAAGCACTAATTACTAAGGTTATCCTACCCATCCTACTGAATCCACAGTAAGACACTTGGTTAAATTCTACTTCAAATTCTCTCTCAGAGGATGGCCCCAGAAGGGGAGGAATGCTGGCCGTTCCTTTTATTAAAGTCCCATTTTCACAACCGCCTTTGATTCCACTTCATTACAGTTGTTTCCGCTGGCTAGCTATTATTGGTAAAATATTGGATCGCAATGAAACACATTTACTTATTAATCCTCTTGACATTATTTAGGTGGGTACAGAAATTACCTCACACAACAGAAAACAGGCAAACATGCCAAAACAAGCCAAAGTTGAACTGTTTGAAGACCCAGTCCCCTCACCCAATTTTACTAATAGTTATAACCAAATTTAAAAAGCATCCATAGCGATTCCAGAAATTCCTTAATTTTGCTCCCAATCCGTTTTCACCGAGTCCTTAGGGCATCGTATTACCAGTTTTTGAACAAATCTGAGGCGCTAACCTGTAGCTTTGGCACGATCGCGCCGAAGATGGCATCACTTTTGGCCGACCCGCCCTCTAACTTTCCTCTGGGATTCCAGACCCGCTGCCCCTCCGCTGCTCTCAGGCCACAGCGCCCCCACCCGCCGCACCGGCTCTGGGAGTGCCGCGAGGGTCTGGGGCGGACCCTGGCCGGGCCCCGCCCTCAAGACCTCGCCAGACCCCTCCCTAAACCCCACCTCCTGGCCCAGAATGCACCTGGTTGAAAACAAAATCCCACGTGACTGGCTCTGATCTCAAGCTATCATGGCGTCTCCCAGTGGGAAAGGAGTCCGGGCGCCGGGGGCTCCTGGCTGCGGGCCCCGGCCGCTTGCCCGGGACCTTGTGGACTCGGTGGACGACGCAGAGGGGCTGTACGTGGCGGTCGAGCGATGTCCGCTGTGCAACACCACCCGCCGGCGGCTGACCTGCGCCAAGTGCGTCCAGAGCGGCGATTTTGTCTACTTCGACGGCCGCGATCGTGAGAGGTACGGCGGCCGTCACAGCCCTGTTTTTTTCTCAGGGAGTCTCCTCCGGTTCGGCCTCGGCAGCCTAGAGTCTGGGGCTGGGGTCGGTTGAGAGGAGAGGAAGGTAGGGAAGGGTAGTTGCTTTGCGCCGGCGCCTTGCTCTCTGGGGATGGGAGCGGGGGCGGGAGCGGAAGAGGGGGTGCAGGTGAGGGAAGGTCGCTGTTTCCTCACCACCCACCTGAGCGGAGTCTGACATCTCGGCGCTTATGGATACTCGGAAAAAGGGATAGATGGTGAGTCTAGAGAAGACTTCCCCTGTTGCTGCCATAGAGTTGGATTCTCAGCTCTTCGCTACACTCTCATTCAAAGCTTGTTTTAATCTTTCTCCGTCTTCGAAGGCACATTCATCCTCTAGAGAAGAGACCAAAGGAGAACCAAATATTGTAACTGATTATAAGGTATTCGGGCCCTGGAAGCTTGTGTCACAGAAGAATCTTGTTACCCGACTCTTAACTCGAAAGTGTGAAATCGAACTAGCTAGTCGTTCCTTTTCTTCCTCTCTGCCTCCAAAGATAGTTTGGGATGCCGAAGAGTTTGCATGTGTTTTGACTTTACTTTAAAACCTAGCCGGAGATCTGCAAAGCCTTAGTTAAGAGAATTGAATTTGGGAACACATTTTGACATTGTTTTGAAATCTAAATAGAGTTACAATTCGTTGATTAATATAATTGAAAAATTAGTATGATTAGCTGCATTCTCTCCCAATTTTTATTTCAACAATTTAGAGTCAGTCGTAGATGTTTACTTTCTGAAACCGAAAGTTCAATAATTCATTTACAACAGACTAATAAGTTATTGATCCCAACTTACTGAGGAAACGGCACAGTAAATTCCTTCGTCTCTCAGTAATAGTTCTAAGAGTGAGTTCCTCTGTTAATTCTGATCATGAAGAGCTCATTTCTTGCACTTTTGAGATTTTTGTGACAAACCTTTTTATTTCCCTATGTCTCACAGATGCACTTTATGTCTTTAGAAACTGCTGCTGTCATAAGTGATAGGTTTAAAAATTAAATCAGTTTTATGGTAATAATACTAGGTATGAGATGGAAATGTCTGATGGAATTTGTCAAAAGTTATATTCTGGGCCCTGTTCTCTGTACCTTTTTGTAGATCCACGTCCATAATTTAAATGTCACTGGTATCTTGAAGCCTCATGGATCTCCAATGTAGACTTCTCTGAGACACAAAAAATAGTTGATACACAAGACTTGTATTTACACTTGTACTATTTCCATCTTAATATGACAAACTGAACTCATAATTATCTTTCATTGATCTGTTAACCCCATGCTCATCCAACCCTCAATCTTCCACTTGTCTTTGACTCCTTTCTTAACCCCATCATATCAGTTCCCTGTACAAATCCCATCCCCATTTCAAAACCTAGCCCAGATCAGACCCTCATCACCTCCTGGTTGGATCCACCAGGGTTATTGCCTCTTGAGTCTGCCTCCACCCATGTTCCTTTGTAATGTAAGTCCCACATATAGCCAGAGTAACATCACATCATTCCTCTGTTCAATTTTCTACAGGTTTCCTGTTTTATTCAAAGTAAAAGCCAAAGTCCTTAACCAGAGCTCTGCCAATATGTGTCTTTTCCATTCTCTAATATGCTGTTGTTTCTTCCCTTACCTAGTTTGCTGTACTCAATGACTTCCATGTCTGTCCTTAAACATATTAGAAGCACTTCTGCCACAGGTCCGTTGCAGTCTCGTTCAGATATATGTATCACTATATAGTAAAAACTTAATAAGGATTTCGTGAATGTGTGAATCCACACTCTTCATTATTATCCATTATTTTCCATCATGATCCACTTGGTGCTAAAGCCAGAAACCTGGTAGTTGTCTTTTCCTTCTTATTGGGGACATCCAAATCATTGACAAGTCTCATTAGACTGTTCCAGAATGAATCTGGAGTCCATGTACTTCTGTTCTGGGGGGAGAGAAATGCACTGGATGATTTGGGTGATTTGGTGATGGGAAGCCCCAGGGGATTACAACTGAGATGGAAAAATGCACAAAATGCTGGAAAAATAAACTATTGAAAAGAAAAAAGACCAAATAAGTCAAGTCCCCACCAGGGCATATGAGCTCCATGTGATTTAGTTACTGCTTATCTCCATAACTGTTAGCTTGAGTTTAAATTGGAGTTTTGAATCCATGCTGCTTTGTATTGAATCCAAGCACCACCATTTGATATGTGACTTTTAAATGTCTCTTAATCTTTCATATGTGTGTTCATTTCATTTTGAAAGTGGTGGAGATATCCATACCTGATAGGTAGTAATTATATAAGAGTATTTCGCATGATATCTAGTATATTTTAAGCACTCAAAAAACAAAGTCATGCCTTTCTCTACTATATTCACTATTCCATAGTAAGGGACCACCTCTCAAGTCCGCAGTCTCCCACCACTGGGCCATTTCCCTTTCTCTTCCCTCCTCCTGGAACATTTTTCCTTCTGATTGGCACTTGTCTTTTTGTTCTCAATTTAAATATCCGTTAGAGAGGCCTTCCCTATCACCTTGGTATTCTCACCAACACTGTCCTTTCCTATTCTCCCACTTTGCTCCCCTTTTTTTTCATACTGCATTTGTTCATAAACTTCATTCTTTTGTATCCCTAAAATGTTATTTTCTTCTCTGCTTTTCCTCTGCCCTTTAACTTGTGTGCTTCTTTAAGAGATGAGGAAGAGGCATGACATAAAGATGTTTTCTCAGTACAGTTATCTTTGGAAACTGTACTAATGAACATGGTAAAATTACAGTTCTTTTAACCAGAACATACTCTTCTGGGTTACACTTTTATCTGATACAAAAAAAAAAAAAATAGAGCTGTTAATTCGTAGAAATTGCTATGTGGAAGTAATCTTTCCATTCAAACCTGTTAAGAATTGGTTACCAGTTTGTGATAGGCGTAGGAATTGAACAGGTCACACAGTCTGAGGAAACCCAGAGTCTGCGGCACCTGGAATATCTGCTTCCTAATTTAAGAACAAGTTAAAATATGGATTAGAAAGAATGATACATCCTATGAGCTCATGGATTAGAAAGAAAGATACATTCTATAAGCTCATAGATAGTACTCTCAAAGCAGGTTTTTCAGGGGTGTTGCAGCATTAACTTAAATAGGAATTTTAGGAATATATGATACTTTTTACCAGGAAACAGAAATATTGAAATTGAGAGGTAAATCAGGACAAGCATGGAATTTAGAAATTACTGAAAATTGCAAGGGGAAAGCATGTTAATATAAAAAAAAATTACCCATTAGTTATTTCTAGTCTCATCCATTATCATTTTGGTTGTTAGCCACTTAGCCTATAAAAATCTGTTGTCTTGAGATTTCCTGGGCCCACATTTGTATATTCCACAAAACAGATGCTTTACAGGCCGGTAGCTCCATCCAGTGTCACTGCTGTTTGATTACATACTTCAGGTCAGGTCTCGTCCCCTGCTATACCGCCTACTATGTTTAGCCAATAAAGCTGGATTAAGAAAATAGAACTCTTTTTGAAGAGCATATAAAACTATGCTGTTATTATATTATCTCAAATCCTAATATTCTAACATAAGAACCAGCTTGATAGGACACTTTTTTTCCTTCATACTGCCTTTGTTCAGAAACTCTATCCCCTTGCATGCATAAAGAACTTAAGGGAGAAAAATTTTGCTAGTAAGCTTTCCTTTGTTAATATCCTAACTCAAGAAATTTTTAGTTCATAAATCATCTCTCCTTAAATAATGGACATGGCTGAGCTTTCTTTCCCAGCCACATCTCTGTTCTCATTTGCTTACCTTACAAACCTCACTGTCTTATTTTAAGAGCCAGCAATGATCATAACTCTTCCACCTGTCCAAATCAAAGATTCCCTTCTGCTGACCTAAAATTGTTAGTCCTCATTTTCCCTTAGGTTTAAGGCCTCAAAGAATATTACCTGTCTCAAGGGACCTAAAAATGTTAGGTTCTTTTAGGCCCTCATTTGCATATTTGCAAAGTTTTGGTGGTTTTTTTGCCTTTCTCAAAATTTGTTAATGTTTTGAGTTATTCACACTTTCTTATTGCCATAACCCTGGGCACAAAGTAAACTTATACCCCTGCCATGAGGGAATGGACTGGGCAAGCAGGTAAGGGGATTAAAGTTGTTTATGAAAGGTGCTAGGTTTGGGACATAGCAAGTGCTCAGTGAGTCATGGGTGTTAGCATTTAGCACTAACACAGAATTAATAATAATATGGATCCCCCATACAGTATCTACCCTGGTATTCTTTTTCTGTTAGTAGGAACCAACTTATATGACTAGGCCAGTCTGTGGCTGGGTAGACACAAGTGTCTGTGACCATGGCACAATGTGGTAGAAGGAGACTCTCATTTTTAACCAGCACTCCATCCCTGTTATTCCACTTGGCATGTTGAAATGAATTAACCCAAAGCAAGTGAAGTTTTTTGCCTTGTGAAACAGGTATCCTCTGCCTGTAATGCCTCCATTCCCTTCAAAGGGCCAAATAATACTCATTCTCAGCTATCTGCCACTCTCATCCCACATAGGCATGACTCCCAGGAAGCTCCCTCTGAAGCCCAGCTGTGTTGTGTGTGAGTTCTTTTCCCAGTAGGTCACCATGTGACCACCTTCTCTTAGGTATCACCAGTTTCCATCACAGGAGGACTGTTTGAAAGTCATTTTAAGGGGTATTTTTTGTTGTTGTTGTTGTTAGGGAAAAACAAAATACTGTGGTGGAATTTGCTAGATAATGTGAATATTTTCAAATTGAGAGAGAAAGTACAAAACCTAGTGTTGTGAAAGCATGGTCAAAGCATGGTCACAGTGCAGGGTCACGGACATTTTCAGTAAACAATGCAAACTAGAGAGGTTCAGTAACAGCAACAGGGTAACAAATATAGTTGCATAGAAGCCTGGAAAGTTCTATACAGCAAAAACATAAGTCAGACAGTAGATTGAGAGAAAATAATTCGAAGATATATGAAAGAAAAATGGCTAATTTCCCTAGTAAGTAACCCTTTAAGGAAAAATACAAAAAATGGGCAGAGCTCATAGTGAATAAGGTACAAAAAAAAGACTTTTAACACTTCTGATAATGAAGGCAAGTAAATTACAACTACCTCTGGGAAGAAGCAGATGGGAGACTGATCAGGGTAGCAAAGACAGCATAAAGAGAAACGTACTTTTAGACAGTGAAAAAAACGTTTCTGTTTTCACTGTTGGTGCTGGTGTAAATTATATGATCTGATTCGGAGAGCATTTAAAGCTAGCTGCCAGAATTTTGCGTGTAAATATTGTGTAAGAATTTCTCATAGAGAAACTTAAAAACTTGTGAGGAGTTGTAAACTAGGATTTCCTTTACACTATTGTTGAATTAAAATATTGCTGATAGTAGTAAAAATGCATGAGCAGTGATAATATCCATCAGTGGGAACTTATATACATAAATTATTATGTCTGTTCAGTGCAATTCTCTGTGCCTATTAAAGAACAAGATAGGGCTGTATGTTCTGAACATAGAAAAAGATAAACTGTATTTCATATGAGACCCAACTTGGAAACAGCACATAAAGATTGATGCCCCCCTGTGCTTTAAAAGGTAAAATATGTATTATTATATCTGGCTTGAATATAATGACTGTTAATCTCCCTCCACTTCTTGAGAACTATATTGAGAAGGTAGAGAATTGCGGGATGAGTTTCTTAGGAAGTTATTTCCCTGAGTGTGGGATGGGGAGTTCCGGGAGTGGATGAGTGTGCCGAAGATGAGTTGAGATGCTGACCAGCCGCATTACTTGAATCATCTGCTTTTCAGCTTTATTACCCCCTCTGCTGCAGTTTCCCTCCTGAAGGATAACATTCTTGTGAAGAAGGAATTGTTATCTTCTGATTATTATTCCTGCTAGCTACAGTTTATTTACTTATGCTTAATTTTATTTACCAACTCAATATAAAGCAAGCCAGAGCTGTCATCCTAGTTTGTTTTAATGCAGAGTGACATTTTTACAGCACATGTGAAAGGATAACTTCCGTGGCCTCCAAAAGCAGGGTTTTATCATGAGGCAGATTTTTGTTTTCTTGGCTTGATGAGCCTTATGAGTTTGTCATTTCCTTTAGGTTAATGGAACATGAATCACCAAATTGCCTCAGTGAGGCAGAAGTAAACATCACATTAGTTTCTTATTTCTTATACAAAGACACGGGATCATATAACAAGTGATATGTCCAAGAATACACATTTGACTGAAGATTATAGATTTCTTAATATTCTGGACAATGCTTTGTTATAAGTAGAAGGCATATATGTAAATGTCTGACACATTAATTGATGAACCTGTGAGTTTGTCTGCATTCCACCCTGGGTCCTGAGTCTTCTGATAGTTACCACCTTGCTGGTCATGGCAATGTGGCCCACAGAACTTTTGCAATGCCGCTCTGTGCCAGTGCTGCCAACAAGGGATTTGCTACCCAGCTGTGCTTGAAATGTGGTTAGTGCAACTGAAGGATTAAAATTTAAATTTTTATTTAGTTGTATATTATAACTGTGAATCTGTCACTTTAACAATTATGAAGAGGGCCTCACTGGTGGTGCAACAAGTTAAAGCACCGCATTATGAAGTTCTCCAAAGCCCCTGCAGCATGAGTTCGATCCCCCACCAGGGAGGTGACCCATATGGCATGGCAGATCTCTCCTGACTCGCCCACTGCTCCCCTCAGTGTATTTCAGTAGATCTGCTTGTTTTGCTCCCCACTCTGTCTCTTGTGAATCTTCTCACCCACCACACCTCTGGCCTGTACCCCAGTAAGCATAAATAAATAAACCTTTAAAAACAATTATGAAGAACCAGTTTATAGGTGAACAAAGGATTCAATTAAGCTTAAAAATGAAATCATTTTTATAATGGAAGCCTCACTTTCCTTAAACTCAAATTAACATTAATGCTCTGATACACCTGTTTCATAAACCCATGAAAGAACTTTAAAGCTGAGAATTTGAAGTTAATTTTAAATAACCACTGTAAGCAGTTATGAGCATCCCTGAGAAAAGACATGCAGTACTTACCTTCAGGGTGGTGGTATTTCCAGATGTGTCTGAAGACATATTAGCTCTCAGTAATTTGCATGGTTCATTGGACTGAAAAAAAAAGAAGCAACTTAAGTGAAACATTGGAATTTTTTTCTTACAGGTTTAAAGATAAGAAGGAAAGATTAAACCAACTTAAGAGCAAGCAAGAAGAATTTCAGAAAGAGTGAGTTTTTGTTTTGCTTTCTAATATGTAATGGTTCCCTACTCACCACATGGTTTGGCTCAGTGCTGAGATGTACAGCCATGGATTGCTGAATTACTGAATATAAGATGTAATTTCCAAGTATGGGAGGGAAGTACATCTGGCAGAAGCAAAAGAGGAGCCCAGGTTTCTAAAAGAGAATCAGACTGGAAGCCTGCAATACATTTGCCACTCCATGTATGGGTAAATCAGACCCTTGGGCCTGATGATTAATTTGTGACATATTTTCCAGGACAGTAGTCATATTGGATTTAAATTAGTGATGGTGGCTTCTTTACGACATTTCTGCTTCTATTTAATTTTCTTCTGCACCAGAAGCCGGCAGATCATCTACATCATAATTCATTAACTGAAGTAATGGTTAGAAATACAGACTCTTGAGATGTTGTCCTTAGATACTCTGAATCAGTAAGTCTTGGAGGTGCCCTAACAATCTGAGTTATTAACAAGCACTCTGATGAATTGCTCTAGATTTATGAATTGTCTGAAAGATTTAAGAATGTCCTGTGGAACCTGAGCTGACCCACCCTGTTATTCAAAATTACCCCAAGTCTGATTCACACATTCACTATCATATTAAAACTTCTAAGATATCTTGCATTAAAGAAGCATGCTTGGATTTATTTAACTTAGGTCATTTCTCTAACTTAATCACAGAAACTGTTTTCTTATCTAATACTTTACTTAAAACATAAGTTTTTCTAGGTGCTGGCTTGCATTATCTCTTTGGAAACTGATAATAGTATTTTAGACCATGAATTCTCTTATAACTGTAAGAATAATAATGGGAATTATTAATTAATAGTGAAGACAAAGGCTGTGTTTGTGGGAGAAGTTTAGTATGAATATTTATAGAAAGACTGGGGATTATTCAAAGTGTAAATGAAAGGAGGTGAGAAAAAAATTGCAGAGAGCTGGCAATTTAGAAGATACTTTTAAAACACCTAAGTTCCACTTTGGTATTTCTAACTACTCCTAAAAATTTATTTTTAAACGTTATTGATTTTACACTTTTGAATTTCACAGCATTTTACTGTTTAAGAACTTGTTTTCTGTCTTTTCTCTATACAGAGTATTAAAAGCTATGGAAGGAAAATGGATAACAGATCAATTGGTAAGCTATAAGAAGTACTTAAATTTATATTTATATTTGAGATTGTATGTTATTAACTTGATAGAACTTTAATAAGTCATTTCCATTCAAATTTATTTTGAATCATTTTGGGCAGTCCTTTGTTTGAATTTATTTATATGTGTGGTCTCATACTTCATCTAGATACCAAAAACCAAAGTATTGGCACTTAATTCTGGATAATTATAAAATTTGATATTGACAGAAATATGAAAACAGTGGAAATGTACTCATCATAAACAGACATTCTCCACATGGATTAATGATTACATATGAAAAATTAACTCAAGAACATTGAAAGAAAATATGAGAGAGTATGTAATTTGGGAGTAAAGGGGACTTTTATAAGCCATAAAGAAAAATACTTTGGTAGATTATATTTAAAAAAATTCTATATTTTAAGTACCCTGAACAAGGTGAAACTGGGGGGAAAGTGAGTACAGCACACGAAAATAAGGAGTTTAATTGATAATGAGGGTGATAATTTAGTTGTTTTGTTGTTCTTCTTAAATGCCCTTCAAGGAGGGGGAGATAAATAATTATACTGGGTAGCTATTAAAAAAGAATATGATCAATCTATATGTATTGAAGTGTAATGACATCCATGCAAGGTATATTTTTAATGAAAAAACAAATAAGGAATAGAATAAAGTGTGATTTCATGTGTGTTGAGCTTATGTTCTAAATATCAATTTGGTAATATAAAAAATCTAAAAAATCAAACTCTGAGGTTACCCTGAGAGAATGAAGTCACACTTTGCAGTCTCTTATTTCTTATCTGTGTTATTTGTTTTTCACAATAATAAGCATTATTCACAATTTTAAAATAATACAGGCTATTTGTAATACAGTAAATTTTGCTTATGCTCTGAATATTATAGTAACAAAATACATTGTGTGGGAAAATATCATAGATGATAAAGAAATCCATCCTCATCTTTATAAATTCACTGTACTGTTTTCCTAACAAGATGTCAATGCTGATTCTTAGAAACTAATTCCTTTTAACAATGAAGACATCTCATTGCCATTTCACTCCTGAATCCAGCACTAGGACTAGATTTCAGCTGTCTCTCTCACATCTTTTGGAAAGGTTCATGTTTCACCCACTGGAATATCTCTGTCCTCTGCTGTGTATCTCTACTGTCATATTCCTCAGACACTGCTGTATAACACTGTAAACATTTGAACATTGTTTTAAGCTTTTAATTATCTACATTTATGGAGGTGTCTTAGGACAGATAATTGTCCTTTTCAGTAATTACTAGGCTGTCTTTTTACTAATCCTTTTTTCACTTTGGAGGAAGTTGAACCTAAATCCTGTTCATGTAAAGATGTAAGTTTAGGTTTGATATAATTCTCTGAGGCTTTTGAAGTCTCTGACATGATCTATACACTTTTTTTTTTTTTAAAATGTATTTATTTAAGCATACAGAGCTGGGGTACAGGCCAGAGGTGCAGAGGCAGTGAGAGGCTTCACCAGAGACAGAGTGGGGAGCAGAACAGGCAGATCGACAAAGTACACTGCTGAGGGGAGCAGCGGGCGGGTCAGGAGAGGTCTGCCACGCCATGTGAACTCCTCCGGGGCAGGTGGGAATCAAACTCATGCGCAAGTGGCTTAAGCTTCTCAGTGCAGTGCTTTAACCCGCTGCGCCACCAGGGAGGGCCATGATCGATACAGTTTTTGAAAAGACATGTTTTACTGCAGTTTTTATTGTTTTGCAAGTAATATTTGCTTATTGCATCAGTGAGATCATACTGATGTTAATGATCTCCATAAGCAGCACTAACGTAGGCCACCAATGGAACTTCAGTGATGATACACATGTTCAGTAGCTACCATGATTAACATGGTAGCCATTAGTCACAAGTGCTGAACACTTGATATGTGGGTGTGGGTAGTGTAAGGAACTGAACTTGACTTGTAAATAGTCACAATATGACTAGTAGGTATATACTGGACAAGGCTTGTGAAGAGAATACTCTTTCAAAAGTTTTTCTGTGCTCATTACACATGTAAAAGAACCATGTGAATTTATCTCTATAAATTTCCTAACAACCTCTACATTGAACTAAATTAACATTTTATTTTAAGATTTGTATATTTATGCATATAAGAACTGGGGGCCAGATGAGTGGGGGTGAGAGGAATCACCAGAGACAGAATGGGGAGCAGAACAGGCAGATCTACTGAATTAAACTGCTGAGGGGAGCGGCGGGCAAAACAAGACAGGTCTGCTGTGCCATGTGGGTCAGCTCCCTGGCTAGGGATAGAACTCACACTGTAGCAGCTTTGGATAGCTTCATAGTGCTGCACTTTGACCCATTGCGCCACCAGGGAGGTCCCACTTTTTTTTTTCTTTTTTTGTATTATACCATTGTTACAAAGCTATGGTAGATATAATTGTGTGTGTGTGTGTGTGTGTGTGTGTGTGTGTGTGTGTGTGTATGATTGTAAATATATAAAATTTTTCCTTCATTATGTCATCTAAGATATACCTAGAAATAAGTAGTGATCCCATTGTTCATAGTAGTTATAAGGGACCACCATTTCTCATACTTATTCCATAATTTTTTTAAGAGATGGAAAATAATGTCCTGCAAGATGAGGATTGAACAGTTGAAACAAACTATATGTAAAGGAAATGAAGAAATGAAGAAAAGTAAGTAATTTCCTCCCTCTAGCTCTAATAAAAGGTTCATGTGGAATTGTCCTAGGATGAATAAATTAGATAAACAGAGAAAGATAGACAGGGTTGGGAGACAGTGGCAGTCTAGAATAGTTTGCTGTCTTCCTCCCTTCCCTTATTTATTTTTTTAAAGATTTATTTATTTATGCATACAGAACTGGGGTACAGGACAGAGGTGCAGGAGTGGTGAGAGGATTCACCAGAGACAGAGTGGGGACAGAACAGGCAGATCGACAAAGTACACTGCTGAGGGCAACAGCAGGCGGGTCAGGAGAGGTCTGCCATACCATGTGGGTCACCTCCAGGGTGGGGATCGAACTCATACTGAAGTAGCTTTAGCTTCTTAGTGCTGTGCTTTAACCCGCTGCACCACCAGGGAGGGCCCCCTTCCCTTATTTTGTAAGGAAGTTACACACACACATACACACACACTTTTAAGACCTTTAAATAACTTGCTGCTTCTCTCAATTTAAAAAGTGAAGGAATGTGTGTTTCTCACTAGGTAACAGGAGGTTCACAATGTAACTTGGTACTCCGCTTACTGTAATTCTCCATTTACACTAGAGGCAAAGAATGCTGACTTTTTCCTCCCAGAGTGAATCTCATACTTCTGTGTTAATTTACATTATATTTGGACAGTTCATACTTATCATAGGTGGTTGTCAAAATTTAAGAGATTCTTTCTAGAAATCTGGTATCCTTTGAGACATTCCATGTATTTCTGAAGATTGGACTTTAAAGTTTAGAATAAGTCACCATCATGCTTGTGAATCCCTTTCTTGTGTACTCATTGCTTTCAGAAGCAAGCATTTTATACAGTATGAATGGTGTACAGCTGCCTTTGAAAATGTGTGTCCTACTCCAGTGCTCATCAGGTGTTTCATAGGATCACTGAGAGAAGCAGGGCAGCAGGTGAGGAGGGACTCAAACTGCACCCCACAGTTAGCACCAAGCTTTGCATGCAGTAACAGCACGAAAATGCTTGATACTTAGGGGGAAATGGCACAGAGAAAAGGACAAATGGAGCTCCGAGTACTGAACCTGTAACAGTGCAGCTGAGTGATTAATGGTTTCCTGCCATCTACAAGGGATCATGATATTACATTGAAAAATCTGATCCCTCCATGTTCCTCATGGTCATCACTAGAAAGGCTCATTTGAACTCTTGTAAAGAGGTCAGTAGAGATTATGAAAATGAATGGGCTTTCTGGAAAGTGTGTTAGGGAACCAGAGACTTGACCTTTAGGGCTTTTACAGTTAGCAGGAATGGTAAAGAGATTCACCTAAAAAGAAATAAACCTAAAAAACCTTATGCCTGCAACAAATGCGGACCACTTACAAGACATTTATTAGATGCTTGTTGTATCTAGTCAGGAGACAGCAAGGCTCCTGTTGCACCTGGTATAAGAAACTCAGCTGTGTGCAAAGGTGAATGAATCACCGTCATTTGTGTGCACAGCATTACTGTGGGACTATGAAGAGCAAGAGGTACAGGAGCATTGATGGAGGGGAGACTTTGCTGAATTAATGAGTACGTTGTGGGTATTTGGAAGAAAGAAAATCAGTGTTCCTAGAGAGATGTTGGTTTGAGCAACAGGATAGGGATGAGTATTTAGGGAATGATGACTGACTCAGCTGCATCTATTAATGCATGAATTTAATAGTTCCACCTTGTGGATGGATGTGACATATCTAGTAATTGAGCAAGGCTAGAATGAAGGGTATACATAAGGAACTGTGAGTTTGGGAGTGACCTAGAGGCTGATCTGTATTTGATGAGTAGGAGAGAACAGCTGAGCATTACCACAGCTAGTGAAAAAGCATGAAGGCATGGAGTTGGAGCCATGCTGGAGATAGCCTGAGTTTGGTCATTGTTAACTGGGATTATGACTGTGGAATGAAAAAGCCAAGATTTTAAGAACTGTAGAACAGCTCATAAAATTGACCAGCAGAGAGTCATTTAGGCAGTAGGACAAGTCAAAATAATGAAGTAGGGAACTTGGCTTACAGTATAATTAAGAGGAGGCTTTTCCTAGAAGAATGAAAGAGCTTGATTCTGAACTTGCTTGAACCTCCTGAGATGATCTGAGGTGTTTGAGGTTTCCCACTAATTCTCCTCTGGTGAAGTTCAGCTTCAACCTAGCATGCCTAGCAGGTCTTGGGATCCAGACTCTGACCGCGGTCCCTAAAAAAGGACACCAGGTGGACAGGGTGCATGTTTCTTTCTCCTTGGTCACCCTCCCTTGAGTGCTTACAGTGCTGTCTACCGCCGGCCCTCAGCACGCAGGTGCTGCCCCCTTGGGGATCCTGTAGCACTCCACTGTAGCTTTCAGAGCTTTTGGGCTATCCCAGGGTGTCTGTGTATAACCCAAGGCACACATGAGAGGTTTCTAGAGAACATCAGATAGCCAGTAAATTTCCAAACTAGCTTTAGACATACGGTCTGCCCAACATGATCATTCTCAGCATTAAGAAAGTTGGTACCTCCTGTGCTAAACTTAGAATTGGTAGTCTTTGAGCAAGTCTTTCTAATGTGATCACAAATGCAGAGCCAGCCACTCGGGTGCTGCTGGTCCCCTTTGCTTTGACGAGTAAAAGCTACTGTATGCCCCAAACTTTCAATTTCCACTTTGTAAACATTATCTAGTAAATTGTAATGAGGTTTTGCTTTCAGTTTACACTACAGAAAGACATTCATGCTTGTGGAAGTTCTGTACTACCCAGGAACTATTTGTAGAGATAATTGTTAGCTGTGATTTGTTTTAGATTCTGAAGGTCTTCTCAAAACCAAGGAAAAGAATCAGAAACTTTACACTCGAGCACAACGACATCAAGAGAAAAAGGAGAAGATTCAGAGGCACAATCGCAGACTTGGTGATATGGTAGAAAAAAAAACTATTGACTTAAAAAGTCATTATGAACGTCTGGCAAATCTTCGGCGATCTCATATATTAGAACTCACTTCTGTCATTTTTCCTATTGAGGAAGTAAAGACTGGTATGAGGTATAGTAAGCAACTCTTTAAATCTGGGAATAGATCAAGTCCTAAAACTCTGAAGTATTTTCCACCTGTGTCAGCAGCTCATTTTTTGGGTTTCATTCTGGGGTCATCAGTTTTTCTGGTAATGAAACATAAGTCTTAACTGCATTGGTGAACAGTACACACTGCATGAAGCCGGAAAGGTAGCCAGGGTGAAGGGTGTTGGCCCTCAGAGAAATGGCCCAGGTCTGTGTGTTCTCAGAGTTTCCCGATGAGGTGCTGACTCATTCCTGATAAGAATTCTCTCATGGCTGCTGTCAGCTACACTCTCAGCTGGGCCACTTACTGGTTGTAGGCTGGGAGGTACATTTTTGAGCCTTGAGCTATTTCCTTGTCTTTTGGTTGGGCGTACATAACATGCCTGCTTCACCGATAAATGAGCTAAATGAAGGAAAAACCAGGCGCTTAGGGTTTCTTACATAGTAGGCACGATGTGTTGACTTAGATTTACTCAACAACGAGCTGCTGTTGAGCACTAGAGACTGAGTTCATCAGACTGTAATAGAGGGTTACCCCCAGAAATCAGTGGATAGACATGAGAATGGCTCCCCATCTGCAAGATTCTTAGAGCCACTGAGAAGCTTTGGAAAATACAGGCTTCAGAGAAAATCCCTCCAACCACCCAGTCTGTCTTTAATAGTTTACTCATCTTAAACTTTTCCAGATGGTACCTAGGTATCTTCTGCCAGGTTTGAAAACTCCTACTGAAGTGTTGTTTGTTTTCTCACTGACCAGCAGTCTGTTCCTGTTGAGGGTTTTCCCATCTTTCATGGTTGCTCTCATTTTCTGGCATCTTTCCCTGGAATTTAGTATTGGTAGCAGAGGAATATTTCTCACTACCTCTTAGTTCAGTCTGTGCTTCGTCTGTTACCAGACTTGGCTTTCTGAAAGCCTGCTCTGACTCTTACCAAGAGTCAGAGTAGTTGGCAAATAAAAGGGCAGATTCAAGATGGAGAAGAATATAAATTTCAAAAATAAACACTAAAGTAGCATTTTGGATAAGTGAGGAAAAGTTGAGTTACCCAAAAAATGGTATAAAGACAGTTGGCCAGGCCTTTGGGGGAGGAAAAGCTGATGAAACAGAAACATTATGCCAAGTTAAATTCTGATGGGTCAGGACCTCAAGGTTAAAACATGTTACAGTAAACAAAGACTGAGACCCTATTCCAGATTTCAGGGGACTAAGGACACTGACAACTGAATAACAGTGTATGATCCAGGACCAATTCCTATACCTAAAAAAGCCATTAACAAGACAGTTGGAGAAAATTGAGGAAGGTCTACAGATAGGTTAATAGTGTCGCAGTATTAATTGTCTGACTTTGATCATTAGATTTTCCTAAATGGAGAATTTGGGAAAGTTGGGTGTAGTGTATGTACTTTAATATTTTTTCTATAAGGATGAAATATTTTTAAAGTGGAAATTTAAGAAAGCTTTCACATATGTATGTGTATATATATATAAAACAGTAGAAGAGAAAACAGTCAAAGTTCTCTGTAGTATTTAAATCTTTTCTATTAGTATATATCATTATATATCCTCAGTGTATTTGATAGTTTTGAAATTGTATCTATAGAAGATTTCCTTGTTTGGTCACATTTCTCACACTTCCTTAAGCAGGAGAAGGAAGTAGAGTAACAGTTTGGAATCGGCCATAGCACCCTTGTCTTATACATGCCAGCCAACAGGAGTTACTGTACATGTGTGTTGTCACAGAAGGGAAGAGGATTGGAACCTTTGGTCCAGAGAACAGAAGGCCCTTCCCAGTCTGCCAGCTCCCCCCTGCTTTGCCTGCACCAGCTCCTGAATATCCAGCACACAACCATGCTGGATATCTCTGCTCCCCAAACAACTGTGTCCTCCCTCACTTATCTGTGACTCTCATGATGGAGTCCCATCCCACTCTTTTAAGCCAGCAGTTCCCAAAGTATGGTCTGTGGTGATTTGTGGGTCCCTGAGACTCTCTCAAGGGGTCTGTCCAGTCAGACCTATTTTTCCAATAATACACTTTCTTTTTTAAAAAAAATTTATTTATGTAAGGGTACGAGAGCTGGGGTATAGGCCAGGGGTGAGAGGGTGAGAGGATTTACCAAAGTCAGTGGGGAGCAAAACAGGCAGATGGGCCGAAATACACTGCTGAGGGGAGCAGCGGGCAAAATAGAAGAGGTCTGCTGCGACATGCGGGTCAGCTGGGGATCGAACTCAGGGACTCAGGCCACAGTGGCCACTGATAGCTTCATAGTGCTGAGACTTAACCCTTTGTGCCACCAGAGAGGCCCTAGATATCAATAGATTTAATCCACAAACAAACCTCTTTGGAGTCCTTAAAGTTTTTAACTGAATTTCGATTTGGTTTTGAAACCAAACTGCTTGAGACCCTGATTCCTGAGACCCTCGCTCGTGGTGTCACCTTCACAGTGGAGGGGGTTTCTGTGCCTCTGCTGGTTTGAACTTATTTGCTGATAGCAATTCTGTCAGAGAAGTTCTATATGTTCCATTTAAATCCCTGATCCTGTGTGTGTCTTTTCAGTGATGTATGTATCTGGCATGTCTATTGCGTGCCCTTTACAAAACTGTTCTCTTTAAACCACATGCAACTTCCTATTTTTAGAGATCCTGCAGATGTGTCTTCAGAGAGTGACAGCGCCATGAGCTCCAGCACCGTAAGCAAGCTTGCTGAAGCCAGGAGGACAACCTACCTGTCCGGGAGATGGGTCTGTGACGACCACAACGGGGACACCAGCATCAGCATCACCGGGACCTGGATGAGCCTTCCCAACAACGGGGACTACTCTGCCTACTACAATTGGGTGGAAGAGAAGAAAACAAATCAGGGGCCTGGTGAGAAGCAAAATTGTCTTTGAACGTTTTTATGATTTAGAAATACTTTTTAATCAAGGTCCAATTTACATGATCAGATGGACAGCTTTAGTGGCTTAATACATTCACAGTGTTGTGAAACTGCCCCCTCTCTAGTGCCAGAACCTTTTCACCACCCCAAAGGGAAACTCCACAGCATGAAGCAATTGCTCTCCACCTGCCCCTCCTCCCAGCCTTCAGCAACCACTAGTCTATTTTCTGTCTCTAGACTTGCCTTTTGGGGATTGTCCATATAAAGGGAATCAGACAATCTGTGGTCTTTTGTGTCTGGCTTATTTCACTTACAATAAGGTTTTCAGGATTTATATTCATTGCAGCATGTCTCAGCATTTCCTTCCTTTTTCTGACTACAGAATATTCTGTGTGTGCACAGTACCATGCTTTGCTTGTCCATTCATCATCTGATAGATTTAAACCCTGAATTTTTTAACTCTTTCACCCCTTCGGTGTTAATACTACTTTGTATATATATAGTAGAATATATATACACTACTTTGTATAGTGTATGTGGCATGTTGGGTTCCATTTTTAATATCTACCTTTGTACAAACTTGCTTAGCAGCCCTAAATGTGGACATAATCCAACAGAAATCCCTGTAATTTCTCTGTGGAAAAGGATTATTCACTTAGTCTTTCGGCATCTATTTCGTGAGTGTATGCTTATGTCACGCAGAGCCCGGTACTGGTGATACAGAGGTGACATCACCGAGACTGTAGTGGCCCGTGGCCACCCTGAGTGTGTGCTATGGAAGAACCGGCAGTGTCACTGGCAGGCCAGAGGGAGGTGCTGCCACGGCCACTTGGCACCTCCAAGGAGGTGATGTCAGACGTTAATTGTTCTGACAGATAATACATTCGTTGGGGCCAAATCATTTTGACTTTAGTTTGATTTCTACCTGGCTTTACTTATTACATTTCACTCAGCAAAAAACATGATGTTTAAACAAACAATATCTGGTCATAGGCCTTACTAGTAAAGAGTAAAAACAGTCATGAATAATTATTGATAAAATGAAAATGATAAGATCTAGGATCATGACTTTATGTTGAAATTAAAGTCTCGTGTTTGTCTGTTTCTATGCATTAGACATGGAGCATAATAACCCCGCCTACACGATCAGTGCTGCCTTGTGCTACGCCACTCAGCTTGTCAACATTTTGTCCCATATACTCGACATAAATCTTCCTAAAAAGCTGTGCAACAGGCAAGTAATGGAGGGGATGATGTCACTTTAGCCTGGACCTCATGTTCCAATGATGGGCTTATCTTTTCTAGTTAAACCAAATCACAGATGTAAGTATTATCAAGACAGAAAGTCTGACCATGGAATATTGTTTCAACATTAACTTCAGAAGCCGCAGATGCAGCTTTATTCTATTGCACACGAAGTCTTTTAGGAGATCACAGAGTACAGAGGGAAAACAACTGTCCATGTGTATGAACCAAGTACCTTGTAACACTTGAATATTTGATGTATATTTTTTTAATATGTGAGGTATGAAATTTTTTAGAAATTGCAAAAGTTTACAGTCCACCCAGTTTCTATTAACTTTCCTACTCCTCTCCAGTTATCCTTCCCTTTCAAACAAATATTTTTTGCCACAACCCCCTACCCCAAATACCAAAGGTGTGCTATGCTAAGGTTTTTTGCATCTTCTTTTAGAATTATATTTGTTGTTTTTACGTCGTTGCTCATTTTTGTGTGATGTTTGATTTCTCCCTTCACTTCTAGACCCCATAAAATTCCCACCACCAAACCTACCTGTGACCCATCACCATAGTCTCCTGTGCTTTTCCCTTCCGTTTTGATCCCTCTCACTTTCATCCCCTGCACCTCGTCTCCAGTTTATAGTTTGTCTATTAACTTTGTCTTCTTCTCTTCTGACCCCTTGTTCAATTTCCCTGTATTCCTCGTATATGTGAACCATCCGTTCTTTCCCCTTCTAACTTAATTCACTGATCATTAGCCTTCCGGCTCCCATCTGTGTTGGTGTGAATGGCACGAGCTTATCTTTTATGATTGTTGAGTAATATTCCATTGTGTAAATATACCACATCTTCTTGATCCAGTCATCTGTTTTTAGGCATTTAGGTTGTTTCCATATCGTTCCTATTGTAAATAGTGCTGCGATAAACATGGAGGTGCACATTTCCTTTTGAATTAATGTTTTTGTGTCTTTTGCGTAATTTCCTAGGGAGTGGAATTGCTGGGTCCTATGGCAGCTCCATGTTTAGTAGCTTGAGGAACCTCGGGAACACAACTTTCGTCAACATCAGCTTCATACTTTCTTCACATCCTCATCAGCTGTTGTTCTCAGTCTTTTAGATGTAGGCCATTGTTACTGATGTGAGGTGGAATCTCGTTGTGGTTTTGATGTGCATTCCCCTGATTTTAAGTGATATTGAGCATTTTTTTTTTCATATGCCTGTTGCCATCTGCATTTCCTCTTTGAAAAAGTATTTTTTTTGTTGTTGTTGTTCTTTTGCCCATTTTTTGACTGGGTTGTTTATTTTGTTTTAGTTAGGTTGCGTGAGCTCTTTGTAGATCTTTTTAAGTTCCTTATCATTTATATGGAATGCAAATATTTTCTCCCAGTCTGTAGGGTGTCCCTTCATTTGGATATTGTCTCTTTTGCTGTAGAGAAGCTTTTTAGTTTGATATAGTCCCAGCTGTTTAATCTCCTCCTTCATTTTCTTTGCTTTGGGGGATGAATCTTCAAAGGTGTTTTGAGACATATGTCATGGAGTGTTATACCACTGTTTTCTTCAATGTACTTTACTGTTTCAAGTCTTTCATTCAGGTCTTTTATCCATTTCAACTTGGCTTTATGTATGTTGTGAGGTGGTAGTCTAGTTTCATTCTTTTGCTTTTACAACTTTTATTTAACAATTATTGTTGTAAGAATGGAGTCTGTGAGCTTAGTGGTGACTAAAGCATAATCCATGCTGTCTCGGCACTTACATTTTAATAGACACGCAGATCATCAATGTGTAAATAGTGCAGCAGATGGTCAACTCTCTGCTGTGGAGAATGTTGAAGCAGGCAGGAGAGGTGTAGAGTCACTGAAGGGCTTGCTGTTTGAACAGTAGGTATGTGACCCCAGGGCATCTAAGAGTAGAAGGGAACAAGCCTGGGGGTTCTCTAGGGAAGGAAGCTACAGCAGAGAGAATGGTGAGTCCCTGCCCTGGGGAGTGAGGGCCACAGGGAAGTTAAGTAAGGGTGTAGGGGGAGAGGCTTTGTGTGCTCTTTCCAGCCTTCAGCTGGCAGTCTGCCTGAAGTGGATAATTGGAGATTGCCTTGTGTAAATGTTCTCAGATCTTCCTGGTCTCCTGTTGCTTCAGTGAATAAACTGATACTCATTTCACTGGTATGTAAGCATTTGTGTAGGATAAATTTTCAGAAGTGGAATTGTTGCTCAAAAAATACATGCATCTGTAATTTTTTATAAATGCAGTAAAATTGCTGACCTTGAGGGCAGTCGTCCATTCTTAGATGGCATCTGGGAACACATTTTGAGTTAAAGGACACACTTTTGGTTTCTGTGGAACTACAGTGTGAAGAACACTCTTGGGAGAGAACATTTCAACATAGAAATTTCTTAGAAAAGTATGACATTACAGTTGTGCATTTCCATTGCAGTGAATTTTGTGGAGAAAATCTCAGCAGACAGAAATTTACTCGCGCAGTGAAGAAACTGAACACAAATATTCTCTATCTTTGCTTTTCTCAGGTATGGAAAACATACTGTGAATTCATTTTTGCTTTCTTGCTTGGTTGAAAATATTAATCAACTCTTTGCTTTTTCTAGCATGTAAATTTAGATCAGTTACAACCACTGCATACCCTCAGGAATCTCATGTACCTAGTCAGCCCGAACTCTGAGCACCTGGGCAGGTAAGAGGGATTTTGTTGCTTTTCAGTAAATGGTAGTGATGTGACTACTTTTAGCTAGACTTTTACATGTTGGCAGATTTCAGGGATCTGTTCCCAGCTCCAAAATCTCCCAAAAAGGACAAAAATAATGCAACCCTGTACAAGAGGAAGCAGTAGATAAGCATATTTGAACTTTGTCACCCTTACATAATCATTTCTCAGAAAAAAATTCACATATTTTTTACATCTAAAATAGAGTAGAAGAATACAGATGTCCCGGGGGAAGACGAAAAGCTGTTTCTTTGAAACCCTGGCTGTTGCTTCCTAGCCCTGCCCAGTGCCTCCTGTTCCTGGAGCATTTGCTGTGGGTTGGTTTTTCCCTCCCATCATAATAGTGCTTTACAGTTTTCTTTTTTGCCACTGAATGATTCAGTCTTGCTATAGTTTGGTAGAGGTAGTGGGTATTAGAAGTTTATGGTATGAACTGGTTTGAGATCTGTTAACTTAAAAATCAGAGTCAGTAACAAAAGAGGCCAACCAAGATGGTCTGTGGCATCCTGCTTAGTTGCACACTGCTGTATGACCTAGATAAGACTTTGCTTTGGTATCATCCATGTACCTTCCTCTGTGCTTATTAGCTTTTCCCTGAACAGTCTGTTCTACATTTCTGCAGAGGTATGACTTGATGCATGTATTTGCATTCTTCTAAGAGAACAAAGGAAAATAAATGATAAAGTCCTTTGGGATTTCCTCCCCATTGTCCATTTGCTGTGACACCCAGCAGAGTCCCCTGCACTGACCAGTGTATCCAGCTTCCTCTGCCTCCCCCACATTGCAGTGGACTTCCTGTGGTGATCTTCCCTTAAGCATTGTTGTTTCTCCTACTCCTCCTAATAGTTACCTTCTCTGGAACATGACCCACCCCTTAAAAAAAAAAAAAAGCTCCAAGAAGCTGCAGATATACCCAGCATTTTGTGCCATTTTATAGGGGAGGAGTTCAGATCCCATCCATTAATTCACATGGCATGGATGGCACAGAAACCTGAATGTTAGAAATTATCCCACTTTTAGTGTTGCGTTTTAGGGTTCTTCTCTGTACCTTATTTGTGAATGGTTCAACATTAGGATGTATGTCTTTGAGAAGAGCTAATATTTAGTGATAATATTATTATGATTGTTCTGAGACAACTATTATACATGCTTTAAGTTATAGGTGGGATTCTTACTCTCACTTTACAAAAGGGGATAGCCGAGGCTTAGCTCAAGGTAAGTAACTTACACCCACAGGCACAGAGCCAGTAAAAACAATGGGGTGAAGGTCCCAACACACATCTGGCTGACTCCAAAACAGTATGTTCTCGTGCTGCTAACCAGAAAACGTTATTCCTTCATCACATTAACAAACTAGAGAAGAAGAGATACAAGATTAGCTTGATGAATGCCAGGAAAGAATTGAATAAAATTCAGTTTCTATTAATAATTAAAGAAAGCTCTTAGAAAATTAAAAATAGGTTATAAAGACTACCGTAGACCTACAACAAAAATGGTACTTCATGTAGTTGTTTGGTATAGTGGGGAATAATCCAGCCTGCTGTCGCTGCTATGTAAATGTTGCTTTGGAGGCCTAATTAAGGCAGAACATTTTCACTGAGAAGGCATAGTCATACTGAAAGAAACAAACTCAGATGCTATGATTATTGAACTAGAGAACTGAGAGTGTAATAGAAATGACAGTTCAGAATGGTGATTACATACAAGATCAATATTCAGAAAGCAGTTGCTTTCTTACATGTTAACAGCCAGTTAGAGGATGTAGTGGAAAGGGTCTCTTCCATCAGAAACATACATCACATCACCATGTATTTGAGTACCAAACACTGTATGACTTGTGTGGGACTGAATGGAAAAAAGCCTAGGCAGCAAAGACCCTTACCTGATCAGAATTTCAACAAATACTTCATGGACTTAATAAATTGATCCCAAAGTATAACTAAGCACAACATGCAGAGACATTTTGAAAAAGAATTATTAGGAGTGGGCTTGACCCCTTTTAAAGCATAATATAAAGGTCATTAAAAGTGGGCTCTGTCAGCATGCAGGTAGGTGGAGCAATTAAAGGGAGAGAATAGACTCCAGAAACAGACCCTGTGTGTGTGAGGAGCTGACCTGTGACTTGGCACATCAAGTAGAAGCAGCCCAATAGTGGTGGGCAGTTGGGTATCCATGGGGTGGAGAGAGATGGATTCATACCACATTCCATATACAAAAATAAGTTCCAGAAGATCTATAAGACTATTTTTTAAACTATAAATTACTAGGAGAAAAGACAGTGTTTTATAACCATAGGGTAAGGAGAGAATTACAAGCAAGCCACAAAACCCAAAAAAACATAAAGGAGTTTTATACATTTTACTGTGTAAAAGCTTGCAATGTCTCTGGTAAAAAATCTGTTTTGCAGCCTGTATGACAGATAACAGATTGATATCTAGTTAAACTTCAGTCAACAGATTAAAGATAGCAACCTAGTGGAAAAATAGACAAAGGATTCAAGCAGTCAGTTCAAACAGAAGAAAAGTTAGTAGACAGTATTCAAGTAAAAGAAATTTTTAGCCCCAATCAAGAACAAACAAATGCAATTCCCAGCAGGTTTCCAAACAGGTTGCTGATATGCAGAGTTGGTGGTGGTTTAGGAAAACAGGGTTTGAAGATGTGTATGGATCTTCCCTTCAGTCAGCTATTTGTTTAGAAGGCTCTGCCCTGCAGAAGTACACATAACTCCAGGCTGTGGTAACATCCAAGTTCATGGCTGGAAGTAGGTGGTTTAGGAGGTAGGCCTCAGAAGTCTCCTGCCTCCTTCAGAAGCAAGGCTTAGGGTGACTGCTGGTGGAACCTGGCTGGGACTTTCTGTTTCCATTCAGACTAGCTAAACTGGGGACCCCATCCTGAATCCAGCATATACTTTTGTTTTCTTTTCAGTTCAGACTTCCAAGAAAATTACATTAATTTACTATTAAAATAGGACAAAGGACATAAATATTCTTTACCTAACTTCACCTATTGCTAATACCTTTACCCATTTGTTTTACCACTTATGTGATCTATTTTCGTAAATACACACATTTTTTTCCCGGGTCCTATGAAAATAAGATACATATATTGTGGCTTTTGATCTTAAATACTTCCGTGTATATTTCCTAAAAATAAGGATACTTTCTAAACCACAGTACACTTAACCAGCATCAGCTGGGTGAGCAGTAGTGCTGTTTTTGTTTTTGTTTTTTAAGATTTTATTTATTTATGCATACAGAATGGGGTACAGGCCAGAGGTGTAGAGGGTGAGAGGATTCACCAGAGACAGAGTAGGGAGCAAAACAGGCAGATGGATAAACTACACTGCTGAGGGGAGCAGTGGGCAGTCCAGGAGAGGTCTGCCATGCCATGTGGGTCACCTCGGGTGGGGATCGAACCGGCACTGAAGTGGCTGTGGCTCTTTTGCAAGGCTGTGCTTTAACCCACTGCACCACCAGGGAGGGCCCAGTAGTGCTGTATTTTTACTTTCTCTGCCCATATGCCTACGTTGTCTGAAGACCAGATAGTGTCCTTTATAGCATTTGCTTCCCTTTCAGTACAGGATCCAATATGGAGTTTAGTGTTGCATTTAGTACTCTCTTTAACCTCCTTTAAATTGGGAACATTTTCAGAGCTTACTTTGTTGTGTGCAGCATTCACATTTTTTATTAAAACTTTTGTTTCCTCACAGTGAGATTCAGGTCATACATTCTAGGCTGAAACACTGCCTGAGTGTCCCCCGGATGTCACACCTGCAGGTTCACTGTGGCCATCTGTCCCTCAGTGGTGATGTTAATCAAGATCTTTCCAAAATCTCCATGATACAATTCCTGTATTAAACTGTAGTAACTAAATAAGCAGTCTTTGGGGAGACATTTTTTCCCTCTTGCAGTAGTAATTCAGCCTATTGATTGAGCCTTTACAATGATCACACCTACATAAAACTGTTACCATCCAGAGTTAAAACTGTTACCATCCAAACTTCATCATGTACATTAGATTTGCTACACATTTTGTACTTCTATCAAAAATGATTTTGTAATTTTTATTCCTCAAAGACATTAAGTGAAAGAGTTAATCCTTAGGGGAGCACCTGCTCCCTGCCAAGTGGATTCTGCCCTGTGGACTCCATGCAGAGAACCGGGGTCCAGCTGCTCCCACAGGGAGCTCTCTCCTGGTGGAAGTGTCAACCCCTCCCCATGTCACTCCTGCTTATCTCCTAGAATAAACCTTCAAGAGGGGATCTGAGGACGAAAGCTGTCTCATGCCAAGAGGGCCCCAAGATAGATAAGGCACATCAAAGGACAGAAAGTAGGCCGAGCTCTTGTGCTCAAAGGTGGGAATCAGCAGCAGTGGCAGAGTGCTGACCTGGGAGAGATAGGGAGACTTACCTGGTGGTAACTCTGCAGCCCCTTGGACAGCAAAGCTGAGCCGAACAGAATCAGAGAGCCCTGTATTTAGAAAAAGGGGCTCTTCTGTTGTTGGTAAACAGTTTTAGTAGGCAAATGCTGAGAGGCAGCTCTGCTAAGTTCAGGCTGAGCGTAAGGTGGGTGCTAACAGGACACTGGCTAGGAGATGACAATGAACAGTGAGGACCTGAGCTTGGCAGTAGGGGGTGGGGGTGGGGGGGGGCGTGGCTTAAGGGAACTCTGCAGCTCAGATACCTGAGATGAGTCTCTCAAAGGGAATACTCTCCCAGATGATTGGGGATTTGAAATGGAGAAGAATGGGGAAGATGGCTTTGGATTATACACCTTTGCCAAGGAAAAGGGACAGTGGAAATGACTGCAGGGAGAACATTGAGGAGACAGAAAGGGGATGCTCAGAGCTAAGCTTTGAGTCGCTGGGATACTGGTTGGTGTGGAGTTTCAAGGGAGGAAGGAAGATTGTGGGGATGATCTTCCTCCATTCTTGCTCCCTTCACACTTTCAGAATTAGGACTCCTGGGCAGGGTGGGCTGGTAAATGTAGAAGTCCCTAGCCTGAGTGTATTTTTGAAATGTAAGTTGCTTCCTAAGTGCCAAGAGGCAACCCTTTAGCTCACTTTCGATTTAACTAATCCTGTAAAGCCCTAAAAACAGTGCCTGGGGCAGAAATGCCAACTGTGCTAATTGGTGAGTTCCAGCTGGCAAGTGGGGTTGTCTGGGAAGAAAGATACTAGAAAAGGCATTCAGGTGGGGCAGGCCTGGGGAGGTGCTTTGAGGCTGCTACCATTTATTTTAGCCCAGAGATGAAGATGACAGGCTTTGTGCTTCTGGACTGTTTCCCATTCTGTTTTTGTCAACCTTTGCCATTTCCCCCAAGGTGGTTCTCAGGGAAACTTGAACCAAAGCATCTTGTTATCTTGGGGCACCAGTGGAGAGATAGTAGCTCATGGCGCCACTTGGTTCTGCCTGATAGCCAGCTGCCCAGAACCCTGGAGGGACGGGGTGGGGTGGGGGGACAGCCTGATTCCTGAGTCAGGAGCTGCTGTGCCCATGAAAAGAGGGCTAAGTAGGCCTGTGTGGGCTTTGCTGACAGTGCTGCGAGGAGCCTCCATGGGGTCAGGCCAGAGAAAAGTTACGGATTTAGAGGTGAGGGAATAAGGAACCTTTGGAAGCAAAAGTCATTTTCTCCTGAAGTTCAGTGAAGAAATGTGTTTTACACTGAATAGTATATATCCTAAATAGGTTATTCTGTGCTGTGTATCCCTACAATATTTTGTGATGAATATTAAAAATGTGCAGGAAGCACTGCTGACACCCAAGGAAGTTTTCCTGACCTGCATACCACCATTTCACTTAGCTCGCTTGAGTGTTGGGTTGAATAATGAGGGGCTTCCATAAGGCAGGGATCATTTGTATAGTTTTCTTTGGATACCATTTATTACTTGTTCCACTAACAGGCCACAGCATCCTGCAGTGATGGTCTCTGTCACAGTTGGCCTCAGTGAAAATCACAGATAGTGCAGTGGTTTAAAAGAGGAAGTTATCCTTTGAGCCAGCGTGAACAGTCTCAGTGTGTGTTTTCTTTCCACCCAGGGTCTTCAAAACTAAAGGAGGTAGAATTGAGGGAAGCTGTGGCGTCACAGTTTTAGTCATGACTCAGCTGGTAGTTACTGTTGTAAAGAGAATTTAATTAGGAAGCGTAGTGGTGCAGTGCAGGCAGGAGTGGGTGCAGGGAGGGAGGGTGTCCACCCTCATGTACTGGTCTCCTCATGTACTGTCGCATGCTGTGAGCTTGCCAGTTGTCTTAAAGAAGCCCCTTGCTGTCTGCACACAGGTCGGGACCCTTTGAAGTGCGTGCAGACCTAGAGGAGTCCATGGAATTTGTGGATACCGGTGTCGCTGGAGAATCAGATGAGAGTGGAGACGAGCACATAAGTGATGAGGAAACTGACCTGGGCATGGACTGGGAGAACTTGCCGAGCCCCCGCTTTTGTGATATCCCCTCCCAGCCTGTGGAAGTGACCCAGAGCCAGAGTAGCCAGGCGTCCCCACCCATCGCCAGCAGCAGTGCCGGAGGCATGATCTCCTCCGCTGCATACTCAGTGACCTCCTGGTTTAAAGCTTACACTGGACACCGTTAACGGAGCATAGACCCAAACGCGCCACATTTGTATCAAGAAAGTTCTGCTTGCTCCAGTAAACTCTAGGTGTTTAGTTTCATTAGTGCCTGGAACAAAGAGAGCTTAAACTTCTGTTTTTCTGTAGGGAGACAAGTGTTTCTGTCAGAGGGCTAAGGGTGGTGTCTGACATCCTTATGATAGAACAGCTTGGTTCTTCTCCCCAAGCCTGTTGGTGGAAGGAGGACATAGGCATACATCCACTTCTGTTGAGGCAGAAATTCCTCCGAGCTCCCTCTGCTCACAGGCCACAGGCCCCGCAGACACGGGCTTACTTGTTGGTCCTTGTGATACTGTTCCTGAACGTGTTGGCTTTAGAGGTTGAATCACAGGAAAGTGATTCTTGATTAGCCTTGAAAGATAAAAAATTTGAGTTTGTTTTTTGCCATCTCTTTTTGTACAGAGACACAGCAGGAAATTTGAAGTACTGGTTTCTTTATGATTTGGTTATATTTGATTTTTAGGTAAAGGATTTTGTTTTTTTTGGAAGTGGTGGCATTTTGGGGGGAAGGGTTAGTTTAGAAACTATTCATCTGTGCTGCTCTGTTGTAGCTTGTCAGGCATTCCTGTTTTTCTTTCTACCCACACACCAAAGAAACCAAGATCGTTTTTTCTGTAGGACCCATATCCATGAGCAGAAGAAATCCTCGCTGCAATAATGTCCTAGAGAATTTTGAACCATTTTCTTATATTCTGAGGGCACTTAAGTTCATTCTTACACCTACATTTTTGAATTCTTGTCTTCTGTACATTTTGAAGTTGAACTTACTTTATGAGTGAAAATTAAGTCATTGAGGTTGTTCATTTGTAAGCTAAATGCCTCCTTGGGCACACGGTACCGGCACCCTTGCTGAGGAGTCTCTGGTCATGCTTCCTGTGTATGGTTTTCCCTTAGGGAAACTATCCTACTGGTTTCTTCCCTGGAGGTCTTGGTTGCTCTAAGGACACTACTTTCACTCAGAAATGCAGAGCAGTCATTACAGCTGACACTACTCTTTATTTATCCTGGGGAAACTCGGGATTTCCCTCACCCAGCTCATTTTCAGCTAGTGTGTGTCATTCTCTTGACGACAATCTTACAAGAAAACTGTAGAGAGGCATTATGTACAAATATGTAAGTAGATTTTTATTTTTATTACCTACAAAAACAAAAAAGCCCTATGTTAACAACTACAAAAAGAAATCCTATGAAAATTTCCTAACAGGTATTATTACCATATCTTGTTAGTGTGATTAGCATGATAGTACCTCAGATAAATCATTTGGAGGTAAGTCCCTTAGCTTCTTTTCTCACTGTAATTGCTATCGTTGATAATTTGCCTCCAAGTCCGAGGTGCTATATTGCTTTGCTATTGATACATGTAGTGTTTGGTAGACTTTTGGGTAGAGCTGCAAAGGGTGTGTATTCCTATATAGGAGTCCCAAGTTTCTTGACTCTATGAATTTTCCACAAAGGGAGGAAAACAGTATTTCTCCACATGGGTTCTTATACAACTGTTATCTGTTTTAAGTACTCAGCTTCCTGATGTCTGGGCTGGTGTTTTACCTCCCAAGTCTGCATTCAAAGAATGGGTGTATGTACTGGACTTGAACAAATACCAAACAAACTTAAAATCCTATGAGGTAAGAGTTACCCAAACACTTCAAACTAATCTCAAGAGTTCGAAGTCTGGGATTTGGAGCTTAGAGGTAGAGATTGACTTCAGCAGAGAGGCACAATAGTTGTGGTTTTTTTCCAAGTAAGCCACTTAGGAGACCATGAATATGCGATGAAGTTTAGAATCCAGAGATCACAAACTCCTATCAAGAGTAACTCAACACAATTTACAAAGATAGGGGAAACTTAGGGTGTAATAGGGTATATTTTGTTGTTATTGATATCAACTAGAGGCACTTTACTTAGGGTAAATGGTCAAACCCTTTAGTGATTTTGAACACCAACATACTGGCTTACACTGCTGAGATGTTTTGGTTTTCATTATTTTGCACTGGATCCACCATGTAAATATTCTTAAAATATACATTTCAACCACTGTTTTTTCTACTCTTTGCTGCTCATTAAATCTTTCATGTAGGTGCCAGAACTTTATGTAAACAGCTTTTTAAATTGAAACTGGTACTTTTTTAAACAAAAAGCCATAGAATTTGCTCATGTTTTCCATATTAAAATGATCTGTTGAAACAAGGTAATACTAAAAATTCACAGGCACCAAATAGGCTGCTTAGAATGGTCTTCTAAAGACTTTTTGTAATGGAATATGTTTTGCACATCTGTAAGTTAGGGGGTAAACAGTCTGCGTTGGGTGGAGTGCACAGGAGTCATTCAAGGTGTAGGTCACTAGCAAAGTGGGTTTGGGGCACGCCGTTCAGTATGAGTGTCCCAGACACTGCTCACAGTGTCATGTTGCAGGAATTTCCCATTGCTCTGCGACTTCCAAACTAATTTGAGTCATTCAAATGTTTTCTAAACTTTTATTGTATTATTGCAATAAATCTTTTAACAGTACTTTGTTAATACATATGTATGTCTTTTTCAAGGTCTGGTTATTCATTTCCACTGATTCATTGAGAAAGCAAGAATAAAATGTAATTGTGTGAAGATGGGCTACTTTATACAGTTATAGGATAATTCTTTAAGAATTTTTTGCCAGGTAAATTAGAAAAATTCCTGTTAACTACTTTTTCAAAAGTATAGTTTATGTTGCTAGTAACGGTAACGGTTCTTTTTTATTAAGCTGAGAAGCTGGTTGCTGGCCAGTGACATACCTTCCTCTAATAAAATGCAGTCGTCCTACAGTGATGATGCCTGGCAACATCCCCATAGGCAGGGAGGGATGGGGCCTCTAGCTTGCCCATGTGGAACCTGCCCAGGCTTTTTTTCAGGACAAGAAAGAAATGTTAAAGGTTAGAAGTGACCTGTCCTTCTAAAAGGAAGACTGAATAGTACCCCCTGCCCTTTCTTGGGAATCAGTTTCTCTCAGATGGACACACTACCCCTTTCAGGGTAGGTCTTTGTGGAAAGGGGTCACCTGCAGTACTAGCGATTCCAGTGACTGCTATGGAAGCGGTAGCCCACTCAGCTACTTGCTGTGGCTGTCTTTACCTGGCGTAGGCTGCCTGCCCACAGCAGAGGCAAGTGGAAGCGTTCCTGTGCTACACTCTCAGCCTCTCTGGGTAATGTTGAAGAAAACATGCTTCCATCTAGTACACCGATTCCCAGTCCTCAGAGTTAATACCATAGAGAAGCAGGAATCAGGTTAAAGCAGATGAGGGTAGAAGTGTCATTTGTAAGTTGCTTCAATAAAATGTACCAGGAAACTTGAAACAGGCTTCTGAGCAAGCCATCTGAACCTCAGCTGTCATTCTCAATGAGAAAAGCCGCCACCAACACCCATCCCAAGTATCTAGCAAGAAAGTACCCTGGAAAGGGTTTACAATCTGCTTAGAGCTACATGATTTTTTTTAAAAAGATCTATTTATGCATATATAACTGGGTACAGGCCAGAGATACAGGGGATGAGAGGATTCACCAGAGACAGTGGGGAGCAGAACAAGCAGATCAATGAAGTACACTGCTGAGGGGAGCAATGGACGGGTCAGGAGAGGTCTGCCACACCTTGTGGGTCACCTCCAGGGCCCAGGATTGAACTTGCACTGAGGTGGCTGTGGCTAGCTTCATAGTGCTGTGCTTTAACCCACTGCACCCTCAGGGAGGGCCCTGCATAACTTTTTTTTTTTTTTTTAAGCCAAAAGCTGCCTATGGGACAATCTGCTGAAATAAAAAGAGGATGATAGTACAGCAAGAATCCTATTAGTGACTTCTGGGGGTTTTTTTGGTAGGAAGGAGTGATTCAGTGGAGCAGGGGGTTCTAATGTAGAGTTGGAATAGTCACCTCTTAAAAAGTGAGGAACTGGCAGAAGGCATTTGACAACACTCAGTGCTGAAAACAGAATAGAACCAATTGAGTGAAAGAAATGGAAGCTCATTAAGGGTTGTGTGGCTCAGGCATTACCATCTCCAGATCAGATTGTTCACTGCCTGCCTTAAGTGTTGCTTTGTGACTTTTACCCTGACTGAAGACACCTGGGTTTTGAGGAAAGAGCTCTCTTACCCACCAAATTTATTTCCTTACACTGAAAAACATTTCAGGAAGACATTTCTCAAGCATATGGGTGGTTTGGACACAGGTGGAAGAGACACAATTCTGCTCAAGGAGGCTTAGTGAATGAGTATACATATAGTCCATCTTCCTGTCAGCAAACTAAGAATTGTCTCCCAAGTGACTGGCAACCACAGGGGGAAAATACATCTCCATTTCCTGATTAAGGGCATTGGTACCGGCTTAAGTTTGAGGTTTGATAGCCATTGAGAAAACCCTCCTAATAGCTGGAGAGCTTCCACATGGGCCTGACAGCACCATGACCAGCGGCACTAACAGTGGGCGGGGCCTTTGGATCTGCAGTATGCACATCACCTGCAAGCTTATTAGAAAAGCAGGATCTTGGGTGGCATCTCACACCCTGAATCAGTCTTCATTTGTACATTAATATTTAGAAGGTATTGATATAGAGCAGTACTATCCGATGAAGATCAGGTAATTCATGTATGATGTTTTAAGTTTTCTATTATGTTTAACTCGAGTATCAAAAATATTCCAATGTAGAATGAGTATGAAAAAAAGATTTCTAGGGGGAAGCAGGAAAAGGAAGGAAGGAGAACCAGGAGAGTCCTAATTGTATTTTTTGTTCTGGGCCACAAAGTAATGAAGAGGGCTTGGCCCTATATAGCTAACCCTTAGAATAAGTCCTCTTGTTCATTTTCTGGGTGTGCCAGAAGTTTCCTGTCCAGACCCCATGCAATAGAGAGCCTCTGCAGAACACACTTGAAGCAGGACAAGGGGGCCTGAAAGCAAGACCACTTACTAGCCATGGAAAAGTTTACTCAAGAGGCCTCAGCTGGGGTGCCAGGGCAGCCCACTTACCATCTCTGCCAGAGAGACTGCTATGCTGAAAGGTGAACTGTTCTCTGCAGGCCTGCATGCTTGCAGCAAAACCACACTCAGCTGGTACTGTGGAGGGCTGGAAAGCGGGACAGAGAAGGTCAAGAGCTCAGTCCAAGGGTAGGGGAGGCTCATCCCACCCACTCACAGGTTATGCAAATGAGACATCTAATCTCAAAGGGGGTAGGGGCCAGTGCACCTTTGCTTTTCATTTTGTTTGGCAACTAATTGTGTGTGTGTGTTTTAAGAATTGTTATTAACTTCTTAGTACTTAATAAACACATCTGAGGCTCCAATACCAGTTCCAAAAGCAGTTGTCTGATTTCCACTGGAGAGTAAGGAGGAAATAATATGAATTGTGTTGGTGATTTCGCCCGGATTAACTGAAAGATTAGGTTTACTGTTCCCCCAAGTCTCAGGGTCTGCACACTGCTCATCAGTCAACTTACACTTCACACTTAACCTTCATGTGAAGCTCACAATTCCAGTGTTGTATACACTGTGTCAAGCTCGCTGGGTGATGGTCACAAAGGGTTTCTAAGACGAGTATCACCTGTTTGCCATTTGCCCCCTCAATGCTAACTTTAGAACCCAATCCCTGCTATTTTGTTTTGAAGAGCAAAGCAGACGATTTAGTAGAACCTTCTAATTTTTAATTTCTTCATAGCTCATTTTAACTCAAAAATAATTTTTAGAGAAATCCCAAAGCTAATTTGTTCTGAAGCCTGTTCTTTACAAGTTAAAATCAGACGGGATGTCTCAGGGAGAAGGGAAGCCTAAGACACCACCTCTCATGAGGGTTGTTACAGTGTGTTGCAAGCCCATCCCTGGGCACCCACTCCAGCGGGTCTGCACCCCTCAAAGTAAAGCCAGTGCCAGGCCAGCCTAGAGGCCTACACTGGGGTGGTTTTGCTTAAGCTAGTTAGATATAAACACACTGGAATTCACCAAAGGGTGCATAACCACAATGTTTGTTCTTCCCATGAGGTTGTGCAAATGCTAGCTGAGGCCACAAACATAAGAATGGCGTGTATATCAATAGGGGAGATTGAACATTTCCCATACAAGTATTTGCACCAACTCCAAGATGGCAACACTAGCTTGTCGGAATCCAGTGTGCGAGGCAGAAAAGTTCACTGCAGCACTGTACCTGGCTGTAAGCGCTAGATAACATCAGCTCGCATTACTGGAGCGGCCTGCAGTGTACTACTGGTGCTGGTGTAGATTGGCTTTACTCTGCCTTGAAGCAGGTGGTGGAATGGAGTTTGCTTACTCGTATTGCTGAGGAAGGAAAAATTAAGACAGTTAAAGGCATGGAATATACCTTTAATACTGGGGATACCGAGTGACAGAGCCCAGTCCAAAAAGATTGGCAGGGAGGCCCTGACAAGTCTAAGCTAGACGGGGTTGGACAGAGCCCAGAAGGGGAACTTTTAGGCCCTGAGTAAATCATCACCAGTCTTTTGCAGTTAGCCCAAAGCAGCCTGCTGCCAGGGGAACTACTGGCAACAACAAAGCCTGTATCATACCAGCGCTCGACTGACAGAAGCAGCTGCCTGGCAGAATTCAGACTGCTGTGGGGCATCCGCAGCCAAGAATGCACCCACGGAGACCAGCTGCACTCAGAGACCAACAACCTAGATCCTTTCAGGTTTCTCACTGAAAGGTGCCCAAATGGGGGCTGGGGGAGACAGGCAGAACAGGCTGGGAGTCCCAAGGGAGGTGATTCCTAGCAAAGAGCTGTATCATTGTGCACAAGCAGGGCATCTGGTCACTTTTGCAGAATCTTTTCATGTGGCCATTTTAATGAGTCATTTTAAAAAGGTCTAAAAATAAACTTAATGTTAGTCCATCCCTTTCTTGGTATCTGATATCATCCACCAGGCAGGGAACAAAGCTAAACTGCCCCAGAGAAGGCAGAGCCCCTGACCCCCCAGATTTCTTTGGTTCTTTCAAATAGTGATGCGTAGAGGATCAGGTGTTATCAGAAGTTCTGAAAAAACACTTACGGGGGAGGTTTCTCTACTTGTTAAGCCCTAGGAATCCACAGCAGAGCTGTGGGGAACGGAGTGGGCTGGTTTTCCAGCGTGGCACGGGAACATCTCCCTAAAGGGAAGCTACACTGGACCATAAAAGATGGGAGGGAGGGATGCCCTCAGGTGCCACCTACCAAAACTTCACTCAGAGAGCTCTGGGAACTGGGTCCTTGTGAATTCTGGGAACTCTTATTTAAAAACTACATGCCAAGATGGGTTGGGGCATTTTTTTTTATAATAGTTTATTTTTACATAATTTTGTAACTTTTTCCATCTCAGATCTAATCCCCGTGGGTTTCCCATCACCAAATCACACGTGTGCCATCACCATAGTCCAGTGCACTTCCCTCCCAGGTTGGGACATTCTTAATGCCTGTGTCCCACAAGAAACGAGACTCAGATTGGCTAATTTAGGAAAACTCACTGAGGGAATTATCCTGTGTGTCCACCCTGGGTCACTGTAGAACCAAGAGCTAACACAAGTAACTGCCAATATTTACTGAACACTTACCACTCACAGGTTATACTCTTTAAGTCCCGTGTGTGTGTGTGTGTGTGTGTGTGTGTGTGTGCATACGCGTGCTCGTGTGCGCCTCTCCTTTAATCCTTAAGGAGGATTCAAAACGATTAGGAAGGTACACTTAGATTGCCAGTTTGGTGCAAAGCACAAGGAAAAAGGACAAGCATTGCAAACTTCAGTCCAGGGGACTCTCACGTAATGAAGCATTTTCTAACATACCTCTGAGGCGAGTCACAAGGAAGGGAGTCCTGAACAGTACACCACAGATGGCCACCTTGAAGACAAAGCAAGCGCTTCACTTTCCCTGGGTTGTGTCACGACACATCGATAAGCCTGTGGCTTCAGTCTAATACGAGTTATCATTAATTCATGGGCCTGAAAGAAGCAGAATTACTCAGCACTGAGAGGCACACATTCATTTTCAGTGCTCCCTTTCCAGCAAGGAGCAGCTACCACTAAGGACTGAAGACAGCAGCTGCCAAGGACTCCAGTTTGGAAGTTGCTCTGTGACCTGCCCCCGCCACAGGAGAATCTAGCTCGACCTCACTCCAATCCTGGCCAAGTCTACTCAGCCTTTGTATCTTTCTCCTTAGAGATCAGCCCCCTCCCATCAGCCACTCCTCTAGAACATTTACCACTGCCTCTTCAGAGTGGAAGCCTGCAGCTTACACTGATCACAAGTCTTTTTGGTGGGTATCTGACTTCAAGCCAACCTGGTTTTCAGGTACTCCATTGCATCTCTGTGGGGCCTTCACACCTTCCAGCCCTACTGAGCATTACAGAGCCACAGGCCTGAGTTCATCCTCAGTGACTTTTCAGCAATGAAATAATGAAGCCTGGCTAAGTTATAGTATCTGTCCTAGGTACTGCCTCATGCAACCTGACATACAATTGGTGGTGTTCCCTCAAAATAAGTAAAGGGTTATTACAAAAATTAAAACTCCAAAGTTAAGTGAATGAAAATGGTTTCTCTTCAGTGGCAGAAAAAAATTTCTCTCTCCCCCTATCTACCAGCAACTCAAAAACAAAATCCAAATTCTCATGATTTAATTCACAACATTCTTCAGTATTAGCCCAAAAAGAAGGAAAAAAATCTGCAAGACTCAGGTTCCACTTAAGATGCATATTTTTATTGAAGTTAAAAAAAATTGTAACCAGACAAAGGATAAAGTAGACAAGAATGTTACCATCTGACTATATAATGTTCTGTCATTCTTAGTGGATCACTAAAATATAACAAAAGATTGTTCTCTATGCTAATTTTAAGGTTGTCCAGTTAAACCATTATTTGGTATTCTTTCAACAGGTTAACCTCTTAACTATTTAGAGTTTCTTCTGAGAAACATTCATATATTATACAGTAAACATTCATAGTTTATTTGGGAAACATTCAAATTTTATACAGGATGTACAAATTTGAGACGAGACAATAAAAAAACAGACATTTGTAGCTGCAACACTATTCTAGCTGCATTGTGGTGATTACGTTGTTCAGCTGTCCATTATATACAACCAGATTTAATAGCATTATTTACAGAGGGGCCAAAAGCACTCATCTAAAGTAAAGGCGCTCAGGTTTAATGTGCACTTTTCATAGCCCTATGAAAACACAACCTATATACACTGTAAACACCACAGGGCATGAAATCCATTTCCAGCCACAAACATCAATCTCACACGATCAAGCATACAAGCTCTAAGGTAAGGTGCCTGACTTTTGTAAGCATACTTTTTTCATCCAAGAGTGCTGCTATTCTTTTCACAGGACACTATTCACTTGTTTATAAAATAATGGTGCCAGTGCTCCAAACATTTCTGGGACTCCTTTTGGGGGCTTGCCTGCATAATCTGCCATGAACTCTTCTGAATGTCCTTGACGGTGGCAAGTCTTCATCCTTTAGGGATGGATTTGATGCGGGAGAACAGGCATAGTTATTCACAGCCAAGTGAATCAAACTGTAGAATACTATCCTGGGATCTAGTGTGAGGTGCAACTATAAAACAATGAGACCACCTGTCTTGACAGTTTGTAAATTAATTTTTTTAAAAAAATGCCTGAGCAATGGCAGTCCTGATGGAGCAAGTGCAGATTCCCCAGCAATGACGCTGAAAGCAACACTCCCCGAGTGGTGCAGCTAGGTGGGGATATACATTTCAAAAAATTGGTCCACTTGTCACCGCACATATTTAGTATTCATCTTCCATTTCAGTCCCTTTTGTTTTCTTATGGATTGCTCGATTAAAGCTGTGGCAAGCAGGGACCCAGTGATTGTCATGCAGCCCCAGCTTACAGCCAGGGAAGCCCTTCTGAGACCGATGGCAGCACATCCAGTATCCTGGCCCGTAGGGCAATGCCTGGCAATAAGGCTTGGGATGCCACCGGCATAAGGACACATCCCCTTTCACATATTTTTTCTTGCACTGCTTACAAGGATCCTCTCTGTATCGTGGGTCTCGAACCCAGCGAGAATCTGCTGGCCTGATATTGTAGTATTCAATGATAAACTTGAAGTAGCAGCAGGTGCATTTAAGAGCCACGAGACTCTTGGTAGGAAGTAACCTGAAGATTTTCACCATAATGTGATGGGGTAGAAAAGCCATGTATTGCTGAGGCTCCAAAAGCTGCTGGATTTTAAACCTGGTCTCCAAAAAGTCATGAGACACCTGCTTCTTACAAGTGGATGTCTCAAGTACCCCTACGGTACTTTCCACAGGAGAGGCTGGTTGGACCAATGGACCAGCTGGAACACTTTTTTCCTCAGATGCACTCTCAGCAGCATTTTCAAGCTGGCCGGCCTTGGAAGACTCTTTTGTACTTTCATTCAACTGGGAACAGTCCAACTGATGTTGACCAGGTGGCAAAAAAAACAACATCCCTGGAAGTGGGTCTTCACAGGACTTCACACTAGAAGGTTGGTCTTTCTCTACCTTGGCCACAGTGATACTGATGCACAAAGACTCTCTTCTTCTCTGATCAGGATTTTGGCTAGAAAGCGGCACAAGCTCTCTACTCACACATTCAACAACATCTGTGGGCAATTCAATGGCTTGTGGACAAGTGCGAGAAGGAAAAGGTGACCCAACAAGATCCTCTGTCATTTCCACATCATATCTGTTGCTGTTTTTCACAGCGGTTTGCTGATCTTCTTCTAAGTCTGCACCGTCCATGTGGAAACTCACACCTGCCAGCAGTGAGGGGCAGCCTTCAGGAGCACTGTCCCAGGCCTGGTCCCCCTTAGCAGGGTGATGGTCAGCTCTTGAGGGGCCACAGTCCACAGACATTGATCCCACAGGATTCACCTGAGAATCAGGAACCTCCGAGGTGCGTTTGCTTGTTTTGCCTTCATCAGCCTGAGTGCCATTTGCAAGCAACACACGGCCGACATTTCGACGGAAGCTGTTGTTCCTGGAGAGGCTCCCAGGTTCACGCTGGCTCTGCCGCTTTAGGCACTCGGATTCCAGTCTGGCTACCATATCGAGGACACGGATTGGCTCACTCTGTGGTTCACTAGCCTCAGGATTTCCCCTTTCAGTAGGTTCTTCACACGCTACTACAGCGGAAAAGGTTTCAGAGGCTGGGGGCACACCTCTGGGTTGCCCAGAAAACCTTACCACAGGTGAATTAGTGCAGTTTTTCGCACAACTGGCTAATAGAGCACTGGCTCTTTGCTCAAGGAAGGCAACCATCTGTATGACAGACAGAGGCCTCCCTGCATAGAGGCCGTCCCCAGTGTCACTAGTGTAATGTACAGAACAGTGCTCAATGCCACACGCAAAAGGCTCAGGCTGGTAGCACCGGCTGTTGACTTCCCTCATCCTTTCTAACTGTATTTTGGCTTTTTTAAGATCCCCTGATTTTTTCCTTCTTTTAGTAGCTCTCCCATCAATATCCCAGGAGCTTTTTATTTTCATAGATCCTATCCTATTACTACACTGGTTGGCTGCAAAAAATGCAATTTTCTCCTTAGTATTTCCTGGTTTTACAACAGCCCAGATATCAAGCGGACCTTCCCCTTCTTCACCCTGGTGGATTGTTGCAGATGGGACATTCTTCTTGATTTTAACATTCAGATTGCTTTCTATAGGACTCTTCCCACTCATACTGCATAGAACATTTGGAGAAAGGATCCCAAAAGGTTTTCGAGATGATGCTTTACCAAGAGAAGCTGAAGAAAAGACACTTGGCTTCATGTAGCTAGTTTTGCATTTTTCATCATGTAAAGCCTTTTTGTGGCTCACAGGAATTCTCAGACTTTCCTTGCTGGTTTCCACGGGTTGTACTTTCTTCTGGAGTTTCCAATATGGCTTGAAGTGCATCACAGAAGCTCTACAGGAAGAAACACCACATTTGATTAAGAAGTTGATCTTACTTTTAGAAAACATTTTAAACTCACATTCAGATGCTTCTAGCAAGAAAAATTGGTAGAAAATCTTTACCAACTCTCATTTCACCTAGTTTTGAATATAAATATTGATTAACAAAAACAAAATAACCACTTTCCATTAGAGAATAGGACAGAAAGTAAATTTTATTAGACTGAGTATCAAAATTTGACATCAGTTAACATTCTCTATATAGAACTAGATCTTGAAATGTAAAGAAATTTGAACTTAACTAAAAATATCCCATAAGTATAAGGCAGAGTATGAAAGAGAGTATGAAAGAAACTCATCCAGTATCCCTAGTACTGGCCTGCAAAACAAAATTATCAAATTGCTTTCTAAACAATTCCCATACTGTTGAATACTGAGATGTTTGCAATTTTTCACTTGTTTGTATGTATACTTTGCCCACCTAATAATAGTCTAATACAGGCTCTTTTCTAATTTTGTGTACCTACCTTAAATCAAATATAAAACTCAATAGTCCTTCTTTCTTATAAAAACCATTTTGAGTTAGCTCAGAAAAACAGTACCTTGTTTTGTCCCCTGGTCATAGGTAGAGATGGGAACCACTTTAGGAATTAGAGAGAAAGAGGTCTACAGGTAGAGAGGCCTGTAGTCTAGTCCCTGCTACAATACTAATTAGCCAGACAGGATGTTTTGTTTTGTTTTTTAAAGATTTTATTTACTGAATGATATAGAACTAGGGTACAGGCCAGAGGTATACAGGTGGTGAGAGGATTCACCAGAGTCAGAGCAAGGAGCAGAACAGGCCGACTATTGAAGTCCACTGCTGAGGTGAGCAGCGGGCGGGTCAAGAGAGGTCTGCTGTGCCAAGTGGATCACCTCTGGGGCGGGGATTGAACTCATATTGAAGCAGCTGGGGCTCGCAATGCTGCATCCTAAACCATTGTGCCACTAGCGAGGGTCTGGACAGGATGTTTTTACCTTAGATAAATCATTTCCTCTCTAGGTCTGCGGTAAAATATTAACTGGAGGGTTGAATAATACTAGACTATGTAATGATTGCTGTCAATTTATATGTCAAAATATCTCACTGCTACACAGAACATGCTAGATTGAAGAGAAAATGTTTTGTGAGGATGACTGATAATTTTCTACAAAATAAACCTGCAGGCCAAATAAATACCTACAGTCACACAACAGTGGAATGGACAAAGAGCCCCAGAGGCTTAAACACAGTGTTTTTTCTACTCTCATTCATGAAACGCTACTCTCTGCTGTACATATTAGACAACTCTACATAATCTGTTTTACTGGCTCCATAACACTGACTGACTGACTGAGATGTGACAGCCTCTATAGCAATTACTTTCAAACATAGTCTTAATTGTCAACAATGAAAGTGGCCATCCACAAGTTTACCTTTCATTTCCACTTTTATTTCCTAGAGTCTAATATCAGCTAAAAACAAAACATAGAGATGGCAGATAAGGAGAAATCTTGCAATTAACCTGACATAGTTTTCTTTCAAAATATATCCATGGAAGAGATTAGTTTCTGAGCTTTGCCAATTTATATCCTAAATCTGTGGATATATTCCCCCCTACTTTGACTGTAGCATTTTAAATATCTTTCTACCACCAATTTTATAAGTAAGTCTTACAAAAGGAGCCATCTAGAATCCCTCAAGAAGAAAATGAAGATAGATAACTAAGTATATGATAAGTGAATAAAAGACACTTAATGCTGTCTCTCTGTGGCAATGATTTTCTGGTACTTCATATTCATTCCTTCACCCTCATCTAAGTGAAATGAAAGAAATGGAGACTGCTGAAAAATTCAATAAATTGTATCATAATGATCTCATTAAAGAGTATCTATGAATAAATTAAAGCTTCAGCAATGTGTGTGCCATTCTGCACTGCACACTATGTTCTCTCTGTCCTACTCCCCCACACATTATTTTAAGTGCTATTATTGACAGGCAAGAACATTAAGAAGAAACTAATATGATTACATAATATGTTTATACTTATTAACCTATATAAAGTCAGCTCATTACTGACGCGTTACTAATATTTTAATTGATATAATCAGGGTGACAGGCTTGAAGGCCAGGGACCCCTCCTTGGGACTCCTGGAGTAGGAAGAACTTTTAGGCAGGGGCTAGAGTCCACCACTGGTTGAAGTTGCCTGAGGCATTAACATTTCCCCTTCCTTTGTTGGACTTGAAGGCCCTGAAGAGGTAGAAAACACAAAAATATTGGCAAGGCAAAGAAAGAAACTGCAGAAAATGAGTTTTAGTGAAAAGCAGTGGTGGATCATAAGGATATAATGCAGGAAGAAGAGGCATCTGCTGCAAACATCCATAAAATGAAATCTGTACTTCTCTAACAGACTATAACAGATGGTGGCATGTTCCCCACCCCACATATCCCCACCCCCTCAAATACTGACAGGCACTATGAACACTCCAGTCAGGTTTCCATGGTTGCCCCATCTCCACAACAATTATATTTTTAAAGTTCTCTACAATAAAGTCTTACTTTCTTATAGTTAAATAAAATGCAGGTTGTGTCCCATAGATGTTCACAAAGGCCCTTATAAAATTAAGACCTCTGAGCTCACCAACAAAATCAGAATTTCTGGGACTGGACCCAGAATCTGTTTTTAACCTTAGATTTAATTTGGAAGGAACTTTAACGGTCACATTAGTTCTGATGTAATAGTATCAGTTGGGCTCTGGATTTAGGCAGGATATATAGGGATACCAACTGGGGGTAGAACAGCCCAACCCCCCCCCCAAAAAAATCAAGCAGACAGCCTATACAGAATATTCTAACAGTTGGGTAAAGGTAACCCCATTTTCTTAGTTGTCACTCTCTCTAAAGCACAGTAAAGCCAATGGTCTTATTGTTGACCAATTTCATCTTCACCACTTTTCAAAGCTCTTCTTTTCCTGGCTTTTAAAACATCAGTGTTTCTAAGAATTCTTGCCTTTTCTAGACCATTAGAATTCTTAAGCTACAATCACATGCTGACAGCTCGTTAGAGACCTCATCTCCCCTAATCATATGGTACTGCCTAGTAGACAGTACAGCCTAAATGAAGTAGCCAACTTGGCTCTGCTTTACTGTTGTTTCCTATAAGAAAGCCTAAACTGTTTATCAAGGTAATGGAAGGTCACAGAACCCATTCCAATCAAACAATCAGCTTCGCACTTTTTTCGCCTGTCCATATTTTATACTTTGAGTTTGTTCACAGAACCATTCCCAAAGGACCAGGTAGATGAAAATCAATCATATCACATATTTAAAGGCAGCCAAGACCATAAAACTAATGCAACAGCTTAAAAAACAAAAACAAAAACTTCCTACTAACCACCACCATTTCCTTCTGTCTACCATTTCTTTCTGTGCATCTATTATCAAAAATTTAGTAAACACTCCAGATTGAACATTGCTTATATAATTATGAATAAGCTACAGTCACCCTCCTAGTCTTTGACAGAAGTAAAGAAATGTCCTTCACCACAATATAACAGAACAAAATCAGGTGGGTAGAGATGCTGATAAATCTACTGCTGAGAAGCTGAAAACAGAAATCCCCCTACCCACCTTCAAAGAAGCATAAAAAGTATCAGCTGGAAATAAAAGAGCCTTAGGGATGTGGGAGTTCTGAGAAGACAGTATAAACTGTCATCTCAAATAACACTTGGAAGATCGCTGGGAAATAATGTATTAAGATTGCTAGGCAGTACTTAAGAGAATATCTGGGGCTCGTGATAAAAAATTTAAAGGAAAACCAATTTGATTATATTGCTTTTTTCCTGTTAGGCTCATCTATTCAGATATGTACAGATACGCATATAATAAAAGTAAGTAGAAATTAAAACAGGGTGGAGTTTTCCAAATAAGAAAGACAGTAGATACAAGGTACTTTTGTGAGAAGTTATCTAAGCTAAAGAGAATCTAAGCTAAGCTAAACAGAAAAATAAAGATACCTGGGAGCTGATGGAAAAAGAAAAAGTGTTTTCAATAAACCCAAGTCTAAAGAGGCCTAAGGCCTGTCTATGAATGGGTAAACATGACTGAGGAATCAAATGGCAATATGGGATTGTTAACAGAAAAAGGTAGGCTTTCTCTTATTGCTAAAAGGTAGCAGAATCTGTAATATAAAGGCAGATGCCTATTTTTTAACTTGTCACTTAAGTCTTCAGCCTGCCCACCAAGATTTAGAAGATAAGGCATTTCCTGTTTTTACTTTGTTAAAGGTACAGTACCTCTAATTCCAAAAAGAAACTATGATTTATCAGCCTAAGGACCACTCTTTATAGGGCTCAGGGGACAGAGGAATAAAAAGAGAGTATTCTCCAAAAGACACCTTCCTCCAATGCTTACCTTCAGAGAGAAAGCAATACAGTAAATAAATTCTCCATTTCTTTAAAAATGTAAAAGCTTCCAAAGAACATCTCTGGACTTCCTTCTTCATTGGACCATTATCAAATGATTAACAACTCCAGCTCTGTGTGGTGTGTGTGTGTGTGTGTGTGTGTGTGTGTGTGTGTGTGTGTGTTCAAATCTTGTTTCTGCAAATGAAGTATCAGAGCAAAAATAGTTGTAATCAAGCTAAGCAGTGGTAGAATTAAGATTAGAATCAGAAAAATTACCTGAAGCTACACTTTACTTACTACAAAAATAGCACATAAAAAAACCCTAGGTTTGATTATGACAAACTCTGACAGCACCTATTCAAAGAATGTTTTATTTTTCAAATTAAGTCGGTTTTTCTCAAGTGCCACATAAAATTCCTACACAAAAGTGTGAGGAATTAAAGCAGACATACATGAAAAAAAAAAAGTTAAATTAATCTGTAAGTATGTAAAATTGCCTACCCTATGAGAGTATTAATACAGGCAGAACACAGGAAAACTCACCAAAAGCCTCTTAGCTCTGACTTAATGCATCATGCATCTAGATA